CCTATCAAACACAAAACAGCATTTATGTGTTTTAGAAATGACACTAATCGATATACCACAGATATTTATACCGATGCAATATCCCCTCTGAGCGAAAACATTAAAAAAAGCTGAAAACACGTTGCGCATTGACTTGCGCATGACATGATATCAGCCATCAATATCACCAATGCGTAATGCCGAGCGCAATAAGCTGGATGTCAGCCTGAATGTTTGTAGATATATATCGTGAAATTAGGTTCGAATAACACATTCCGAAGTCTTTTATCAGGCTATATACGCTTCCCTTCCTTCATTTATGGTCACACCCATTTTATATCTCCAAGGTCCCTCATCCAAAAATTTGTGCGTAATATTCTAAATCATGTGTATACATCGTTTTCAGTGCCTGGTAGCATATCGTGATTGGCCTGATGCCCGCTCACTATTGACGTGATCAGGCGATATCAAATATGCGCTATATGTGACAAATTTGTTTATTTGAGTGACATCAAATGGAAGGCGCTCGAGCGACGAGTCGACCATGTTTGTGCTAGCCGTCTGTGCCATGTTGTTCTCTCTGGAGGAGATTCAACATCATTGATGCAACCACCAAGTTCATCATCAGTAACTCGACTCGGGTAATTGTAACACTTTAGTTTATACAAACGGGATTCTAAGGAGGAGACAGTAGTATCAAAAAAAGCGAGCATCTGCTACATTAATAAGCCAATATGTTTCCTTCTCATTATTGCAATAAATATTGAGTCTTCAAGCCTAACGAAAAAGAAAGAAACATTTTAATAAGCTGGTGTGCCGAGATTGACGATGCCGTCGATGCTCGTCCAATTGAAGACGATTTGATTAGGAAACGGCTGACATGTCGAATCTGGCTAGGCGTCCGGAGGGCTTGACCTCCAGTTAATTATTACGACATAAATGAAATGCGTCTAAAAACGTGCAATCGAGAGTTAAAAATCGTTTAATCCAGCACGTGACGATCTCATGCTCGTGTTGATATTCTACTACTGAGTCAATTTTAGATATATTGAATTGTTTACACTTAAAATATACCTCATCATCAGCAACCTTCAGTCTCATTTATGAGCATAAAATAGTACTATTATTATCAAATAACCTGCACATGCAAACAGTCGCAGTGTAGATAAATTTCGACCATAGAAGACAGGTCTATCTGACCTGGGATGTAAGTTATTCAGTGGTCGACTAAACTTCAGTGACACACGGTAGCGTTGGTGCTAAGCAGACGAGCAGCTATCCATCACACACAGGTGGTAAGATTGAGGAGACGCGTCGTTTTACGGACCACGTGACATTGCACACCTTCATACCAGCTTATATTCATCGCACATAATGGCGTGTGAATTTTACGATTTGCTTAGCATTACTTGTCCGAGAGATACAAATAAGGACTACTTACCGTCTTGACGACGCTCTCCGCGCCAAAACCATCATTATCTCATCAATATCTTTACGCGAAAACAATTAGGTGAAACTACTGTTGATGGGGAAGCCTCGCATTGTAAATCATAATATGCTTGAAGAAGGGATAACGGACAAAACACAATTCAGTTAGAGGACATCGTGTTTAATAGACGATCTTTTGAAGTGTGGCGAAGTCGATCTCACAAATTCGCTTGTGTGCTTGTCGATCATCCACTTGCCCAGACTTACCGACTCACGGAGGGGCTACTCCGGTTTGTGCCTTGTTGAATAGCCTTGTGATCACCTTGTGTACCCGTCGGTTGGGCTGGCTTGAGCTCTTCGTAACGGCCTTGGGAGATGTCGATCTCGCTGAGAGGTTGGGTTGAGAGTTCGCTTCCGGCGTGGAAATCTTCACACCACGAACAGGGGTTCTGCGATCTTGATCTTGAGGTGCGGCGATCTCTATCTGGAAGCGTCGTGATCTCTATCTTTAGTCACACCGATCTCGATTTATTCTCGGGGTCGGAGTCTTTGCTGTGCGGAAATCTTCACCCAGCAAATAGTAGTCCTGCGTCAGTCTTGCCTTGGGATCGGTCCGATCTGGTCTTGGGATCGACCGATCTTGCTGGAAGTGCGCAATTTGGGCAGATCGGTGTCTTGTTTCGCCAACATGAAACGTGCCGATTTGTCCGGCAGATCGTCTTGGTTTTGCTCGGTCTTGTCTTGAACTCCTTGTCCATATCTTATGACCACTTGAGCCGCCTTGCGATCTTGTAACCAAAATCATTTTCCTTTGCTGTTGCTTGCTGCTACCCTATCAGTTGAGTTAAGTGTTAGTAATTGATCGACCCGGGCCAGAAATCCCGAGATCGCTCTTCTCGATCTTGGCCAACAATCCAAGATCGGTCTTCTGTGTCCCTGTAACACGCGTGACTTGACCCGCCGGGGAAGCCAAATCAATCTTGCCCGTAGAAGAGGAATTCTTCTTCCGATCGGTCGTTTGGTGGAATCATTCCTTGTCTCAGATCGCAAAGTTGACATCATTCCTTGTCCCAGATCGTAGCGTGGAAATCATCCCTTTCCGCGCCCCGTCTCAGATCGTTCCATACCCATCAGTCTGACAACAGTTGGATCAGATCGTTCCATACCCATCAGTCTGACAACAGTTGGATCAGATCGTCTTTCTCCGTTGGGATCGCCTCCCATCCCTCTTAAGATCGCCAGGTCCCATGGTCTCATTTTCTACCAGTAAGTGACACCTTAACTGGGTGGTCACCGATCCACGTCCTATCATTTGATTAGTGACTTTACCACAGAAGCTATCCCGAAAATTTTGTAACGGTGTCCAGCGACGTTCCGTTATACGTCCTATCTATGCACAACAATGAACATACGCTGTGTACTATGCATCTGTGGCTGGTGACGCACCGCATGTTGTCGATCGGTGTACCATGTGACGATTTTATGGATAATACTCTAACGTCACGATGATACAATCGTCTGACATCGCGACCATGACAAGTCTTACTTTTGCATTCGTCCGAGGTTGTGCAACATATAAGAAGTACCGGTGTACTACCGTAATGAAATAGTAATTATATATCTTACTGAATGGAAGATGAGGAAAATGGCGCTATCTCACAAATCGATAATTGTCTCGAGGTATATACTTCCTTTGTGAATTGTTCAAACATGTAACCGCAACATTAGTTGGAAATAGATATGCGATATTCACGACAAATAAGATCTTCCCGTATTGACACGGAATAACGATGGTCATATCGTTGATCGACTTCATTTTGGTAGCCATCTTCATTTTGCTTTCATTATCCTTATGGGGAAAAACAAATAGAGAAAATGGATATAAAAGCCGATCGAGCGCCACAAGACGACCGCGTACATTCTTGCTTATTCGACGTTTGTTTAAACATCAGTTGCATTAAAAATATGTTTTATGTAATTCAGGCAGTATAAGGTCGTACGACGTACGTTATTACAATACCTATCAATGTTTCGTTCATTGTTACTATCGTGGGTAATTTGGTGCACTTTTGAAATAGCTAAAATATTTGTATCTCATTTGTCCCGATACGAACCAATTCGTGAAGGCGAAAAAAATGACCGCATAAACACCTAGCCTACGAGCCATACTCGTTGAGTTTCAGAGGATATAACAAGGCTTACGGATGTAGAAGGGAAACGGCCGGATATGCTTGCGCAAAGCAAATAGACATACCAGACCAAATGCTATAGCTGATGATAGATACTAAATGCAATCAGCTGCAAGGTCAGCATGAACGACAACGTAGTCGATTTCGCCGCCAACCTGTGATCTTAGGCTACATTGATTTCGGTGATAGCGAACTTGCTAGTGTGAAGCAATCGATCAACGAGTTTTTTTGCTGCATATGTTTTGCATTGTTAGGCGCTACTTTTGCCAGGTATATGATCCAGTGCGTTTACTCTTCATTTAGGACATATAAACTTGATGGATTTGATAGTAGATGAATGTGTATATGTACTAGAACCTAACAAAATGTTTTGTAAAGAAGTTTCAATCAAATGGCATACTGTAGATTATTATCAATAAGAATCACTTCTCGTATAATTGATTGAGAAAGATTATTGACTGAATGGGGAAAATAAACCTTTTACGTTTGACGCACTTTTTCGTGTTATCAATAATCAGATAGAGCTAGCTACCATTTCAATCTATTCTAGTTCATCATAATTACTATAGAATTGTAGTATAGAGAAATGTGTGTATTTTGTCTTATAATAATATTTGGGAACGGGTTCTCTTTCATTTTCATTTGCACTGATTGTTATAAGCCTTTACGTCTACATGCTTGTCATAGCTTTCAATCCGACCACTTTTGGTATTTTTATGAAATGGTAATGCTAAACCATTAACTTTCCTACGGAAATCTACATACGTATTATTAAACATTTCGACGCCTACGATTGAATTGGATACGACGAATGCGGTCACGACTACAGGTGGATCTGCATATACTGCAAGTCGCGTGACAAGAAACAGAGCTGAATAATGCAAACACATCGAGCTTTAGAACGCATGATCGGTCATGCCGTCTGGACCCCTACTCGTAGACATGATCGAAACAGCTACAAACAATAATTCATAAGTCATCTGAAAAATTAACGACACCGCTGGAGGCTATCAAATCGCCTAAAAACTGCGTTTCCAGGCAAAATAGCCACGTGCGATGCGGAGCGGACTGAGCTCAAAGGACTGGTAGTGAACGATTCCCACTACCAGCCCTTTCTGTTATCAAACACGATGGCTTAGATACCATGACATAGACGCTTTGCGGTGCGATATTTGTCTTCGTGTACAAACACGATGAAGAATTGGATCGATACTTGTTAGACTGAGCAGCAAACTCTGCCCGACAAAAGCTTGACGAGATCAAGAAGATGATGCGAAACTTAGCACGACATCGCTTCGTATCACCGACGGGTCAGCCTTGTGTCCAATGTCAACGGGGTACATTGTGAACAAAGGGTTACGTTGTGAAGACGAACTAAGTAGAGACGAGCCAACCCTTAGCAGATCAGATCAGACTCGATTTCACCTTCGGCAGCGGTTCCTTCTCGAGCACATCCAGCACGGCTTTCGAAAACAAGCCCTTGGCAAGAGCGGCAAGGATCGTGTTTTCCGAAATGACGTCGCCACGACCCACATTGACGAACACCGGCTTCTTCTTATGGCAAACCGCAAGCACTTGTTCGGTCAGCAAGTACCGGGTTGCGTTTGTGCTAGGCAGCGCATTTACCACATAGTCGCTCTGCTTGAGCACCTCACTCAGATCCGTCGTCACGGTGTCAACACTTGAACCCAGCATCTTTTTATCTCCGTTCCGGATACGACGCTTGAACCCTACCACCCGGAATTCTGACGCCTTGAACGTGCGTCCGATCTCCTGCCCGACTTCACCGAGACCAAGGACACCAATCGTCAGGTTACGGTACGAGCGGTACTTCAGCTCCCATCGACCAAATACGCGCAGATCTTAGTACTTCTGCGCCTCAAAGAACTTGCGCTCAATCGCAACGACGTAGCCGAAAACAAATTGGACCAGCGCGGTGGGCATGACCCCGCCTGCTCGTGAGACAGTGAATCCTGGGTGTACTGGCGCATCAGGGTACTGAAGATAGGAGTCCACGCCGGCGTACGTGCCTTGCACCCATCGCACCTTCTTCAGCAAGTGCTGCAGCTCGAAGGTAGGTTCGTCTTGGGGGCGAGAAACAGTGGCGCGGCCACGTGGGCGTCCATCAACAGTGCTTCAGCGTCGAACAGGACTTGCTGCTGGTCAGGGTCGAGCATCCACTGGGTGGTCGTTGCGGGGCCTTTACTAGATGACCCCTTGGGCTGAGCGTTGGGGGGCAGACAACATGGGCAGGTCCGACATCTTCGACGAAATAATGATCGTTGCGTGATCAGGTGCTCAGTATCGTGGTCGTGAAGAATATAGAGTGGTAGCGAGACATGGTCTTGCTTGTTTGACAATGATGCGCTGGTCAAGAGCCATTGAAGCGAAGAAGCACGAATGATGCCGGTTGTGGAATGACAGAGCGTCGAGTATCGCTAACGCTTAGGCATGGCGACGGGCAAACCGATCGGAGCAGAACCGATTCCGTGTCAGTTACGCCAGCTCGTGTCTCCTTGCAGCGCTGGAACGCTTATCCAGAGGACGTTGCGGCTGGGTACGCGAAAATCCTCAGTCTCTGCTATGTCATGGAGGAGTCAAGCGGTACCAGCAGAACCTACATAAAGGCGATAGTCTTGTTCGGACTGGAGGTGTTCATCTGCCAGAGGTTTGCAGCTAAGCCGAACGTAATGACTAGGGCGGGGTAGTCAAGACCAGCATTTCTAGCTGTTCAAAAGACGTTGCCGTACTTTGGGTAACACCCAGACGTTTGCTTTCTGTGGCGGGAAAGGGTGCGTACTGTTCATACGAAAGAAGCATGCAAAGGAAACTCAACTGAGCTAGCTGTGGAGTCGTCATGGAGCAAACGTTTGCATGTTTAGCCTTAGTAATTACTCAAAGTAAGAAACATGCAGTGAGTAGTCATCACTCTTCTGTCGCTAGCGACTTTTCTATGTAACTTTCGACTACGACACGGAATAGTGGCCGTGAAAGATGTGAGAAGGTGTCTTGAGCTTTTCTGATACGCAGTCGACGCTCACTTCACCTGAACCAGCTGCTTATTTTCTTTGCTCCCAGACTGAAAATTGTTCCAGCCAACGGGAAGGAGCTAGCCAGACCATTCGCTCCTCTTCGACTCCTGAGCCATCCGTCTTCGAGTCGGGCGCTTTGGGCTGATCGACCTCGCCGAGACGGAGCACCTCTTTTTTCACGACAACTCCGTCTCGGACATGGTAAACCTTTGCGTAGACCCCGTCTTTTTTCTTGATCTCGCCGCTGGAAGCACCGGCAACGTCGACGCTACCTGCGAAGAAGAGCGCGATAGCCGTCAGCATAGTGTTGATGATTCGCATCGTGAGCTGGTAATGAAGAGGTTGGAATCTTGCGGCGCGGATTCGGTACTGACGGAAGGAGCAGTCGCTGTGTCAACGGATTGTGCACATGCTTGAGGTTGTCGTAGAGGCGAAGTGAGTCACGCGCACGCCGTCAATGCGTTAATGTATGTGCGATATCTAGTCCACATTATGATGGCGAAGAGCGCTTGGCGGTTTGTTTTGAACTGCTTTGTTGTCGATCTTTTCGTGCAAGGGCTGATGGCCGCAAAATCACATTCAGAGGTTCATGCAACAAAGGCACGTGAACTTCGGTTGCGTCCGAGATGCAGCTGGTAGAACCACATGTGAGATATGTAAGCACTGCCTTCAGGCTTTGTAGACAGAACTTCTCAAAAAAAACAATCGGATTGCCGCGGTCACATGGTAGTTAAGCTCCCATCCTTGCCTCCGGAGCTCTGTCGCGGACACCCCGGCCTAACGACGGCCGCAATGCCGTGATGTCTGCCGCATTGGCTGATGATGAATGAGCCGATGAATGGGATGCGATGGATGCGACTGTATGCAACTTCGTCTTCAGCCAGTGTGTCGATGTATCCATGCGTTTCGTAGCTCTTGAGACAGTCGAGCATTGCAAGCACAACGTCAACGTGGATTGCTCCTGCATAATGATGCTCCAGACTTGCGGTCACGTGCACGAATCCATGCAGGTGTGAGTGACTTGTTGCGCTCTGGCAGCAGTTTGTGTCCGAACGGAGCGGCCACGTTTAGTTGGAGCTCCGACGCTGGGACACGGTTGGTGGCCGAGCTTTTGCCAGTCACGCAACTTCTTGCTCACACGAAACGATCGACCGAAGACGATCCTATGCCGTTCTCTAGAAACGGGTCTTTACCTTCAGGTCAGCAGTGGCCACGGTCTCGATTCTAGCAGCATCTTTCGCCATTGTATCATCCTGTCAACGTGGCGCCTGCGTCTTCAAGCTGTCCGCTAAAACTGTCTACCATGACGACCGCAAAGTGAGAGGACCGATCGGTTGATAGAAGCCATACCCAGAAATATGCGGGTAACAGTAGTGCCAATCTCTGGTAAACGGACAAGCACAGGTATGAGCTCGTCCAACTTCCTGAACGGCCGTATGCAACTTGGCTTCGGCTACTCGCCGAAATTATATGCAACAGGTAGTCGCACAACTTTCTCGTCCAGGCAAACATCGCACAGCTAGCATCGATTGTTGTCACGGCAGTAAGAGATCCTTTTCCTCGTTGCAAATGATGCCCTTTTCGATGCCGTCCCTGCCGCTCATATCGTCTTCTACGACGCCCACATCTCATGCGAAGGAAAGGGATGACGAACAGGACATAAATGGACCGTGGTGGTGTCTCGATTGCTTCGAGTGTCGCTAGTGGATGAATATAGACTCGATCGTCTTACAGCCCTGGGCAACGTCATTGTTCTAGCAACGGAGGATGTGGCGGGTGCATGGCCGTTCCTACTTACAAGCTCACTTGCTTTTTCAATAAGCGCCTCTATTCGATTGGAGTGATCACTGACAAGTGAGTTAGACTTGAAGTCACTCAGATCGTGCGAGAGAAAGAGAACAGTGTGTCTGCTTACCGTCACATTGCACAAGATCACGAAAACGTTCTTCCCTACTTGATCACTTCAGAAGATCGCACTTGTCGCCGTCGGGGGCTTCGGCTTCCCGACTACTTGTTTGTGGTGGTTTCCTGGTATGCCTAAGCTAGTATGCATAGGTAGGCGCTATTTTCACGCCCGTTCCGTGAACCTTCTAGCTCGTAGAAAGCTTCCCAGCATATTTAGCCATGTTTCGTTGCGTTTGTCTCGACTGCGCGAGTCGGAGAGCAAAGCAAATCGTGACTGTTAGCAATGTGAGAGTCGAGCATTTCTCCTGATCAATCAGAGCGCCCAGCCCGTGTAGGCGTTCCCGATCTATTCGTATCAAAGAGCTGTCGAAACACGGGAGAGGCTAAATACACCTGGCATTATTGCTAAATACACCGCCGCCTATCCATTCGACTTAATGTTTATATGGCAACCGTTGTATCACATTCAGGCCACGTCACTTCGAATATTACAAGATAAGCTAAGTAGAAAGACACCTGTAACATAGCCACGTCAATTCAAAAAGAATATCTTCGTTGTTTAACGCGTGGTGATGAGCCCTTCGACCACCTCCACTACTGCTGCTGCTACTGCAACGGTCGTTAATGCTGATACTGATTCTGTCCACCTCCACTACTTCTGCTGCCACTGCTACGGTTGTTGATGCTGATACTAATTCTGTCGTCGCTGACAATCAGGTTAGGTTCCAAGTTGATGCTGGCCCTAATCCTGCCGCCGCTGATCTCTCATGGGTCTGTGAAGAATCTCCACCGGTCGGGCCTTTTGACAGTCAAAAGAAGGCTGTAGAGGCTTCGAAGCAGGACGCCGTACGCTAAGGCTTTGCTATTAGTGTATCCCGCGGCTGTTCGATTGGTCTCAAGCGCAGTTTTCTCACATGTTGGCAGAAAAAACATCATAGGAGATCCCACAGTCGGCACACGTCAATGCGAGATCGCGGAACAAAAAAGGTCGGCTGTCCATGCGAGCTCGTGATCATGTATGGCAAGCACGCCCCCGAAGAAATTGCCTGGTCAACGTTTTTAGTGGACAACTGATACACCGGCCACGCTCGTTGTATCAGCAAGACCATGCTCTCAGCGTTACCGGCGTCGCGACGTGCGACGCGATAAATTGACGACATTAATGCTAAGGTCGTCCAGATGCATCAGGATGGAGCTGCTCCACGGGTATGTGTGCGTGTCGAAGTCATATACAGCAGGTCATTATCGGTTTTTTGTCTGTATGTGATTATTATAGGCTATTGTAAATCAATTTAAGGAGGCGGGTGTCCTTATAAATGCCAAGGATGTCCACAATATCGTTCAGGAGGCAAACAAAAAGGCACTTGGTGGAAAATTACACACGGAAGCTCTGCGGCACCACATGAAGGACCAGCATATTTTATCTACGGTTGCAGTGTTATGCCGCGGGTGCATTTTTAAATACCTTATTCTGTAATTTATTTAAATTAGCATGGCCTGGCTCCATTACAGTCGCATTTCTGATCTGCTTATCCTGCAATATTCGAAGTGACGTGGCCTGAATGTGATACAACGGTTGCCACATAAACATTGCTGATGGGTGCACTGTCAATGCACGGTCAACAAAGCCAACTGTGATTTGCTACGCACAAGTGACAAGACAGCGATGATACGACAGGGTGTAAACGGTTCACGTGCAGTCTGATGATTCTAGAACTACCTTGAGTGTATGTTCTAGAATCCATCAAGATCAGGGAAAGCTACAAGGTAGAAGAAGATAACACGACGAGTAAGTTCATAGGAAAACTAATTCAATACACTTTCCAATTTTCCTTCGACATAACAGGTTATGAGCCCAAGAGCTTAAGGACCTCTGCCAGAAGCCAGTACGATGAAGAAACCCGATGACCTGCTTGGAACAGACAACTACTTCCATTGGGAATTCAATATGAAGATGACACTTGCGAGGAAGGGCCTGCTAGAGCACATCTTGGAAGTGAAGTCGGAGCAGGAGATGACGGAGGATTGGAAGGTCAAGGACATGAAGGCGTTTGCTATTATTGCTCAAGGGATCGAAGTAAAGCATCAGACGAAGATCCGACATGCTCGCACTGCGAAGGAAGCATGGGAAACACTACGCGACTACTACAACAAGACAAACCTTCAGAATCGAGTGGCACTGACACGTCGATTGCACGAATTTCGTATGGATGAGGGAGGCGACATGGTGAGCCACCTCGACCCTTTCGATGAACTTGTTTTGAGTATGGAGGCGGTGGGCGATACCATGGACGACGCACGCCAGATGACAGTTCTGCTGAGTAGCTTACCGGCAGAGTACGAGATGATTGTGTCCATCATTGAGAATTCCATGGGTGTGACGATGGTGGACGTGAAAGAAAAGCTGTTGAAGGAACACAAGAAGAAGCAGCAGCAAGAGGTCTCCGAAGGAGCTTTCCGCGTTGGTCGTGGAGGCCATAAACAGGATCGTGGTCGTGGAATGCGCAAACAACGTGGTGCAGAAGAGAGCTGGAAAAAGAAACAGCCGTTTCGTGGGAAGTGTCACCGCTGTAACAAGATCGGACACAAGCAGTTTGAGTGCCGATCTGCCACCAAGAATGATGGAAATGAAATGGCATTCACGGCCACAAACGGATTAAAAAAAGGATGGTTGTTGGACAGCGGCGCCTCGTCACATATGACCCCAGCCGAAGAAGATTTCTTTGAGTACGAGAAATTGAGAGAAGCCATTCAAGTTCGCGTTGCCGATGGTGCGGTCATGAATGCAATTGGACGAGGAAGCATTCGATTTCGCTGTACGAATGGTACAGCAGTGACTGTGAATGAAGTATTGCACATTCCAACGCTGGACAGACGACTACTAGCGGTACCCAAGATCGTCCAGCGTGGGTACAACGTTCAATTCGGTGAAAAATACTGCGGTATCTACAAGGATAATGTGTTGATGATTTCTGCGAAGCGCATGAGAAGCGTGTACACTCTTGATGTGGAGTATGAGCACGCGATGTTGGTAGAACATGAAGACGCTGGTAACAAGTGGGAGCTGTGGCATGCACGAATGGGTCACATTAGCCACAACAAGTTTAAAAAGACAAAGGAGGCTACGGAAGGACTACCGAATGTAGTACCTGACACGAACAAGAATTTGTGTGGAGGGTGTCTACAAGGGAAACTGTGTGTCGCGAGTTTTCCACAAGAGTCGAAGACAAAGACAACGCAGCCACTGCAGCTTATTCACTCTGACGTCATGGGCCCTATGAAGAACCCAACTCCTGGTGGGTCACGATACGTATTGTCTCTCGTGGACGATTTTTCAAGATTAGTGACTGTATATTTTCTGAAGTCCAAGAGTGAAGTACTGTCGAAGTTCATTGAATTTCGGACCGAGATGGAGCAGCAGTGTGGATTTCGTATTAAGGCCATACGTACTGACAATGGCGGTGAATACAAAAACAAGAGGTTTGCTTCGTACTGCAAGAAACACGGCATCATCCATCAGAAGACAGTACCCTACAGTCCTCAACAAAACGGTGTTGCTGAACGGATGAACCGTACGATTGTTGAGACGGCCAGAAGCATGATGCATTACAAGCGGGTGGCAAAGAAGTGGTGGGCCGAAGCTGTGAATACGGCGGTGTATTTACTTAACAGAACCACGAACTGCAATCACGAGGAGAAGACTCCTTTTGAAATGTGCTTTAAGACGAAGCCCGAAATTTCTCACCTACGTGTATTTGGTTCACTTGGATACGCACATATCGATGACTCAAAGCGCACGAAATTCGACGCGAAAGGGTTTCGCTGCATGCTGTTAGGATATGCAAGACACACCAAGGGTTACAGGGTGCTTGATCTGGAGACTGGTACGATCAAGATCAGTCGTTCGATCGCGTTAGATGAACGTGAAGTTAGTAACATTTACGAAGACAATCCGGTTGTACCACACCCGAAGATGATAATAATACGACAAGATGACGATGATGGAGATCAACCAAGTAACTTGCAACAAGATGGTGATGAAGATGTTGAAATGGAAGAGCACGAAATTGTCGAAGATGTGGAGATGGAAGTACCGAGTTCTGACAATGACATCAGTAACACACCTTCGAGTGAGACAAGCAATCATTATCTTGCAAGAAATATGAACAACGAACAACATCAACACACTTCCCAAGTAATTCAACAAGGACCTCGTCACCAAGAACTCGAATTACACAATCCGCACGACTCTGGAGCGATGGTGTTCCGTCCACAACTTAAGCGTCGTTCCGGTCGCGAGCATCAGTATCGTGTTCTTACCGACGATGCCAGTGGGAGAAGTGAATCCGGACCACGAGGAGGTGTTGATGAAATGCTACCAATTGAGCAACCTGTTCAGCTCTTGTTGGAAGACAATAACACTAGTACCACAACAGAAAACAGCATTGTGCCATACAATGAAAACCATGAAGCCAGTGGGAGTGAAGATGACGAACCTCCTTCCAAGCGATCGCGAATAAACAGCGATGTGGCATTGATAGCAGAAGTCGCCATGATAGCTCGTGATTTACCTGGCTCTTATGCGGAGGCAGTGAATGGACCTGACAGATACCAATGGATTAAAGCTATTGAGAATGAATTTGCGGCTCATGAGCGTAACAAGACGTAGACACCAATTGTACGCAAGCCTGGAATGAAACCAATTGGATCGAAGTGGGTATGGGCTAAAAAGAGTGATGGTCGATACAAAGCACGACTTGTGGCGCTCGGATTCCTGCAACAATATGGTATCAACTTTTTCGAGACGTACGCGGCTGTCGCCAGTATGAACTCCATCAGGATGCTATTGTCGATTTGCTGCGCAGTAGGATATGTGATCGACCAGCTTGATGTTGATACGGCCTACCTGAATGCCGACCTACAAGAAGAAGTATACTTGTTACCACCCAAAGGGATGAAAATTGGCAGCGAGTTTGTACTTAAATTGAATCGCGCGCTTTACGGACTTAAGCAGGCTGCAAATGCCTGGAATAAGACGATTCACAATGCATTACTGGAAATGGGATTTGTCGCGTGCGGTGCTGATCGATGCATATACAAGATAAAGGATGGTGAAGGCTGGGCGTACGTGTGCTTATACGTTGATGATATGATTGTGGCTGCAAAAGAAGCAACCACGGTACGCAAGGTGAAAGAACAAATCTCTCAGCGGTTTCAAACCAAAGACCTTGGTCCAGTGAAGCACTTGCTTGGAATGGAAGTTATGTACGACCGAAAGAAGCGTGAGATGTTTATTTCGCAACAAAGATACATCGAGGAGACTGCAGACATGTTTGGACAGACTCAAGCCCGACCAACTGGTAACCCATGTGATCAGAGCATGAAACTGTCCAGCGCAAACAGTCCAAAGTCCGATGTCGAAAGACAAGCCATGAGTCGTACACCGTACCGCCAATTGCTGGGACGACTGCTGTTTATAGTGACCACGACCAGACCAGACGCAGCATTTCCTGTGAGCCAACTTGGACGATTTGCAGAAAACCCTGGCTCACAACACTGGAAGGCACTGATCAAAGTGCTAAGATACCTCCGCTCGACGAGTGATTTTGGATTACACTACAGTGTTGACAAACTACAGCAACAACTAACAGCGTATAGTGACGCCGATTGGGGAAACAGCTTGGACGACCGTCGATCGGTATCTGGTGTTTTGCTGGTGCTTAATGGAGGCCCTGTTATATTTAAGTCTAAGTACCAACGCACCGTTGCATTGAGTACTTCTGAGGCTGAATACATGGCGCTAAGCATGTGCACTCAAGACATACTATGGGCAAGGATGTTAATGGCTGACCTCGGATTCGAGCAGAAGAATCCTACTGTCATCTACGAGGATAATCAAGGAGCCATTGCTCTCGCAACAAACCCAGGATACCATGCGCGGGCTAAACACGTAGACATACGTCACCACTTTGTCCGAGAGAAAGTTCTGGCCGGTGATATAAAGGTGATCTACAAGGAGACGGAACATCAACTTGCCGACATACTAACGAAGGCACTCGGCACCAAGCGATTCCAGTACCTCCGTGCCGGAATGGACATCAAGGTACGTGATGGACCCGAGCATCAACAGTGAGTGGGAGTGTTGATGGGTGCACTGTCAATGCACGGTCAACAAAGCCAACTGTGATTTGCTACGCACAAGTGACAAGACAGCGATGATACGACAGGGTGTAAACGGTTCACGTGCAGTCTGATGATTCTAGAACTACCTTGAGTGTATGTTCTAGAATCCATCAAGATCAGGGAAAGCTACAAGGTAGAAGAAGATAACACGACGAGTAAGTTCATAGGAAAACTAATTCAATACACTTTCCAATTTTCCTTCGACATAACAAACATTAAGTCGAATGGATAGACGGCGGTGTATTTAGCAATAATGCCAGGTGTATTTAGCCTCTCCCTCGAAACACAGCACTCAGCTTGTTTGGCCAAAATGTTAGCTTCCTACAGATTTGTATGTGAGTGCTTGCTCGTACACTCCGAACAACCCGACTTGGTGACTCTCAGAGCATCCGGCCACTGCGGGTCACATGTACATTGATGTAGAAAGCACATGCATCGGTGTCATAGATACCTGACACACGCTGTCGAAATCGTTGCAAGTTGCAACTCCGCCAAATGAAAGCAAGCTACATGGTCTCGTCATCAGAGTCGAAGCCTGTTGTGGTTTCGTGTAATGACTGATAGCAGACCAAGTCGTCTTGTCGTCGGCATCAAAGCCTGTTGCAGTATTGCATGCTAGATGATGTCTAACTTCTGCGTCAATGGCGCGCGCTATCACTTATGTTTTCTTTTCGCACACTTACTATCTTTTGCACCGGGTTTATCTACGAAACGTTTTGAACTGCGGTCGTCATTGCACCCAACTTCCCTCTTGTTTGCTTGCTGTTCTCGTGAAGGAGAATGATGAATGATGACAGTATCTTTATCAAGAGGCAAAGAGCGCACCGATGGCGTGACGCAAACCAAAAGCGTCCACCTAAGTCATGAACGACATCGAAGACAAGCTAGTACAAAGTGTTGGTCGTTAGAATGATCAGCTACACCACTTGCCTGGTTGGAGTAGCTCAGTGCAGTCCAGTCCGACAAGGAACGCTCGAGATGCCATACAATACTCTTCGCGGGGTGCAACGCTTTGGTGACCTTTGTACCGGTACGTGGGGTCATTGTCCATGCATATCGATTGGTGTCGGGATGCAGGACTTCTCCATCGAGTGTCGACATGCTCTCTTGCATCAGCTGATATCGGCCGGCAGAGACTCCAACAACCCGTCGTTCATGATCCGATGGTGTCGTGCCTCGAGGATTCCCTCCAATTGCACCAACGCTTCGTACGAGTGCGACCGAACGAGCCCCGCAACGTGATCATCGTCAGCTTCATTATCATCTTCCTCGGTCGAGCAGTTGAGCTGAACACGCGCGGCTTCGGACGCTGGCAAAGTCCGTACCTGCGAATAAACACAACCGTTGGCCACGACGTGCTTCATCTCTCGATACACGGCCTCATCTTCACACCTTTTGTGACACGTCCACAGCGCCTGTATCGACGTGATCACGCCACCCCACACGAAGTGGACGGTCACCGCTACGCACGAGCAGCTCTTGTTTTCTCTATGGACAGTACAGTCACAACGTAGTAACATGTAAGCGCTCAGTAGACCCGACAACACCGGTACGGTACGGTCCACTTTAGCAACAGCATACGCACATCTTCCAGCACGTGCAGTAAATAGTCGACCGTCTCGGCTGTCATCTTCCCGACGGCACCGAAGGCCCCCAGATGGACTTCGACTCGACCGTCCACGTCCGTAGACGCACTAGAGCGGTAGTGAGTATGACCAGCAGAAGGTGACGTCCATGCGGTCGTCAAGTCGTGCGAACGGGTGTCACTGCTGGTCGAGTGGCCGCTCAGAGGTTGCGGGCGGAGGAGCGACCGCACCGTCTGCAACCCGTCATCCTGTGCAGAGCTATAGGAAAAGACAACGGACAACGTGAGTGAGTGAGTGAGTGAGTGAGAGTGCAGTGCAGTGCAGTGCAGTCCGACGGGAGGAAGAGCAGTGGGAGGGATCGAAACGTACGTCCGGTGCATCGGTTGACGTCTCCTCGACGTTGTCAGTTCGAAATGCGTCTTTTGGACCAGGAGACACGAGCTGTAAGTCAGTCATTCAAGACACAATGCTGTATCAACGCGTTAACGAGGCACAATGGTGCAGCAACGCACGACCGATCAAAGCTGCGTTTCGTCCTCTTGGTGCAAGCCGCGTCTCGTAAAAGTATACAGACAGCGCAGCATTGACAGTATACACGTCACGTACGCGGATCGGACGGGGATCCATTCAGCATAGCCATACACGCACTTAACGCCCACGCCCTTCACCCACGCACTCCTTCCTCACCCACCCACTCGCAGCGGACCACCCACTCATTGACAAAGTCCTGAGCTGTTTTGGGTGCTTGGAGCCACCCACCCACCCACCCACTCGCGGTCTTTTCGTTTGCGCCAGTCAAAACGAGCAGCTCCTTCACAAGTCGGCCGCGCGTGCTCCGCCTCTCGCCTCGCGTCTGTTCCTCGCTGCCGCAGCGCACGCACCCGCCGCTTGCATCATCTCCTGCTCCTCCTCTTCCTTGTTGCACTCGCGGCGTCGCCATGTTGCGCGTCCGCCGCCTCGTGACGCTCTCGCAACGCGCGCAGTTCCTTCCCGACTCGAGTCTCCAGCGGCTGAGCAGCTTCCATCGCCTCGCGCGAGTCCGTGCCTCGTCCGTCGCTTCGTTGCCAGTGCAGCGTCGCTGGACGTCCTGCGCGACGACGGACAGCGTCGGCCGTGAGTCGGACGTCGACCGTCGGACCACGTTATTGGCCGAGCTCGACGTCTACTGCGACAGTGGCAAGTGGCGCCAGGCGCTCGAGCTTCTGGACCGCGTGGACAAGGACGAGGCACTGCCGAAGCTCGACGCTGCAATGTACGAGCGTGCGATTGCGGCGTGTGCTCGCACGGGCAAAGTTGAAGTGCTGCCTGGTCTGCTGAACAACATGCTCGTGGACGACTTGACGCCCACAAGTGTGACAATGGACTACATCATCCAGGCATACCTGGCGAAAGAGCACTGGGGGCTAATTGTACAGCTGGCCCGTGAGGCCACGGCCATGGGTGTCGAGCTCTCTCCTGCTGCCTTTCACGCTATCATGGAGGCTTGTGGACAGGTGAAAGATGCGGACAGTGCTATGACTATCATGACTCACCTGAGTAACGCTGGCATGGTGCTCACGACGGACCACTACGGTGCAGCTATCCGGGCTGCAGGCATGGCCAAGCGACCGGATACGGCGATGGCGCTGTTTGTGCAGATGGAAGAGCACGATGGACTCCAGGACGACGGACAAGCGTTTAATCAACTGATCCGTAGCCAAGTGCTGAACGGAGAGCTGGAACAGGCGCTGCAGAGCTTTGTTGTCGCCACGCAGCGCGGGCTGAGTGTAGCAGAACCGACCTACACGTGTGCGATTGACGCGCTTGTGACGGATGCCAAGTACTGGCAAGCCACGCGGTTGTTTGAACAAATGCTGGAGCGCGGCGAGAAGACACCCACGGTGTTTTGTCTGGGTCGCGCGATCATTGCTTACACTGGCGCTAACCGTAGCCAGCACGCTCGAGCGTGTTGGCAAAAGATCGTGGAGATGAACGAGCCCAGTCCTATTCCGACAAAGTACAACAAGATGTTGCAAGGACTCACGCGTGTCAGCGATACGAACCTCGTGGTGGACGTGTTTGAACACATGCAGAAGCTGTTTGAACCCGGCCAGATCCATCAGGGGGCCTACACAACAGCGATCCGCGCGTACGGTCGAAGGGGCGACACGCAAAGAGCAGTGGATCTGTTCGATGAGTACATTGAGAGCTGCAAGACCACGAAGAGGATATCATACTTTGTTGGCATCTACTTGGCGTTGTTCAACGCACTTTCCCGCGACACTGTACGTGATCCTAGGCTCAACACTCGCGACGCCAAGCGCGCTTGGATGATCATGTCTGCGAATGTACCAGTCGTGCTCCCACCCGCTTACGCTAGTCTTGCAGGCGTGTTTGCGAGCACCGGTGACATCGATACGCTCGAGGAGCTGATCGAGCAAGCTGACCTGAGATGGGGTGCCACGTCTGAAGCAATGCATTCGCAGGAAGTGGATGAGGACGGTATGGAATCGGAAGCAGTTGCGATATTCGACGACGATGATGTCGAGCCGGGTCATGGCAACGGTGGTAGGAACAACAAGGCGTTGTTGTTTAACGGTGTGATCAGTGGCTTGGCTAAGGCGCGGGACGACCAGACGGCGAATATTGAGACTTACCTGGACGTGATTCTTTCGCGCGGACTTCCGATCACGGACTCAATCGTGCGCGCAACAACGGACGCATGCATCCGCTTCGAGAACTGGGACTTGATGGAGAAGCTACTGACAATGGTTGACGTGGACGCATGGGAGAATCCCGAAGCTTGTGCAGGGGACACGATATCGAAGCTGCTTGATGCGGGCAACTGGAGTTCGGCTCGGCAGTGGTTGATGTTTTGTCATCACCACGGGCTGCGTCCTTCCGTACGTCGCAAAGCAGAGCTGCTACGAGAAATGGCCGCGACCCAAAGCAGGGAGTGGCGAGTTGCGTACGCATTGGCCAACATGATCATGTCCTTCCGCCGGCTGGTTCAACACAACGTGGACAGCATTGCCGATGCAGTTGACGTATGCATGAACGCTGAACGCACGGACTTGGCCGTGAGGATTTTCGACGCCGTCGCGAGACACGCGTCACTGCGATATTATCGCAACTACCAGCAGGAGATGCAAGCCGATCCAGATGCGTCTCAGTCCTCGCGACCTGACGCGGTGCGTGTGGAGATCCCGCTTCGCATGTACAAGAATGCGATTCTCTCGCTGGTCCGCCAGCCCAAGGGCGAGGATACGAGTGTTAGTTACAATGGACGTATGGCCAAAGCGGAGCGCATTTGCAGGCACATGCTGGAGGTGCATGGCAAGAATCTGGACGGCGATGCACTGTCGATGGCTATCTCGATCAAAGCTTCGGCAGGGGACCACGACGACGTCGGAGCTCTGTACGAATCCATGCGCGCGCTTGGCCTCCAGCCCAACTCATACGCTCAAAACGCGGCGATTGTCGCCTTTTCACGTCAGCGTCGCACGGATCAAGTGCTTGCTATCTGCGACGAGCTCAAGTCAACTGTTGATGATCATGGCGAGATCAGAACGGTCGAACCGAACGTGGCCAGGTCCTTACTCTTATCGCTCGCACTTGCCCACGAAGATGACGCGCTTCGCGACGCAGTGCAGACTCTGCCAGGATGTACGATGGATGTCGCCTTGAATGTGCTGGTGGGTATGAACCGAGCTGTCGACTCGGTGGAGTTTTTTGACGAAACCGTGTCTGCCGACACGTTTGAGTCGCTTTTTCGTGAGCTGTGTGAGTCTGGCAACCCCGTCCTTGGCGCAACGCTTCTGCTCAAGTATGCTCGGCTGCACGGCCTGACCGAGGTGCATCCCGAGCGTGTGATCCGCGTAACCGACGCTCTTGCTGAGTCGGGCAATTTCGTTGAGGCAGAGAAGCTGTTGCAGATGTACTTGGACGGAAGCAACGGTGTGTCACTGAAGCAGATGCCGGCATACTTCCAGCAACACGCGATCGAGATGCTGCTGTTCGTTTATGGCGAGTTTGGCCACTTCGATGCCATGCGTGCACTGTTTGAGAAGGAGTTGATGGTATCTCTGTTCGAGGTCGCGCACTATGAGGCAGCAATGGAGTACTGCGCGCAATCGCGTGACGAGCTGGCAGGTGCGGTGGCTAGTCTGAAGCTGTTTGAGCTGCTGCGCACTCGTGGATTCATCCAGCCGAGCGGGTACACGTATTTATTGACGCTCCAGAGCTGCCTGCGTCTGGAACGCTTGGAGCCCGCGAACGCTTCTGCGGTAAAGTCCACGGGCCAGGTCATTTTGGGCGACGTGCAAGAGCACGGGTTCCAAGCGCTGGTTGCGGACGAGCTGAGGAAGCAAGTTGTATCTGCGTACAAGCAGGTTCAGATCAAGAGTCGGACGAAGTTTCGTCGGATCAACAAAGAGTGGAACTCACCTAACACGAGCGTTATGAGTCTGGAAGAGCTTGCGCGCATCACACTCTTTTGTCACCACCACGGCATGTCCATCCCGATGGACCTGGTCGACAAGTTGCTGAGACTGCACCGCCACTTGCCAGCTCTGCTCGCGAACGAGTTGGCGTCCGTGAAGCGCTCGCTCCAAAAGGGACCGGACGCAGTTGGTGCTCCTCGCTCGGGCGTCAAGAACGTCCCGACTAAGCGGGTGATTGTGAAGCGAACTGCTGCCAAGACGAAGCGCATAGCTCCCATTTTTGCACAAGAGTCTGGACAGAGGCGGCCGCGGAGCAAGAGCTACCAGGCTGCCGTGCGTGCAGCCACTGATGCGCGGTGGGGTGCTGTTCTCGAGCGAATTGCGACGGACAAGGACTAGCGCAGGTCTGGACTGCTTGCCTGTATTTACACACACACACACAATATGAGACACCTGAAGACGGCCTTGGACAGCCAGCACGAAAGCCGATGGCACAGCGGAGCAAACCTGAGCATTGGGCTACGATGATGCTGGACATTGGCGCAACAAGTACCGACTTATCTGAATTGTTGCTGCGTCACCGGCTCCTCTTGTCCCGAGTCTGTCTTCAAGAACTTGCAGGTAGTCAAACTTGATCGAACCTGCTTTTTGACCATTTGCAGACGCGTCTTGCGACTTGCAATAGTCGAAAGACGAAGCACTTTGGATACAAAGGACGAGGGTATCAGTTATGGTCGTGTCGTACATATTCTGCAACACAATCTGTCACGACCAAAGAGGAGAAGTTGGACGTGTAGTCATTTATATAGGTTCTGTCTGTTGCGCTCGACTCTTCGGTGCAGTGTATACCGTGCACAGGATCGTGGCTTTCCACACTATACGCCGTGCGATGACGCAATCCGTCGAGCGTGGTGTGGGTCACATCGTTTGTGGTTATTGCAGTACATTCAGTGTACCTCTTGGCTCGCGTCGCAATGAACGAAGTGGAGTCGCTGGGGCGCTACCGCTCGAACGCCGACGGACTCACGACACGCACGTCGACCGAACAGGAGCATTGCGAGTCGAGCTGCAGTCTCTTCTTCTTTCCGCTCGCTGAGCTCCCGCTGGACCAGCAGCTGCAGCTGCAGCAGCTGAGCTTTATCAACACGGAGCTCGAGGTGCGGTGGGTTTTACTTGGGGCTACTGTCAATCGGTCCAATAGGCGTTGCTAAGTGAGTTTCGTTTTCGTCGTTACAACATGTAATTTAGCCGCTTTTAATGCGCGACAAGCACGTGGCGTATTTGAAACGTGGGCTCACGCGTCTGTCTTCGGGTTTCGTCACGCTGGATGCAAGGTACTACCGCTATTATTTACTCATCATTCCGCTGCTGATATGATGACCGCGTAGCAATGAAGTACTGATAAAGCGCTTTTTCGTTCTTCTTCTTCTTCTTTTTGATGCTGCAGCCGGCCGTGGATCATTTACTGGATCCTTCACGCTCTGGAGCTCTTGGATGCCTTGCCAGAAGACGAAACAGCACGTGTCATTGGTAAGTGAGCTGCTGTCGCTCGTGGACGCTGTCAAAAGGCCTCGAACCGGCTGTGTTTGACGTTGTTGACGTGTCGATAGAGACGCTGAAACCTTTGTGGGACGCTGATCACAGTGGCGGCTTTGGTGGCGGACCGAAGCAGTTGGGGCACACGGCCACTACTTATGCGTCGTGTCTGACGCTTGCTTTGCTTGGAACACCCGAGTCATTCGAGTCGGTGGACCGACAAGCACTATACCGGTTCTTCCTAGCGAGGAAGCATGCGGTGTCGGGGGCCTTCATGGCCCATGATGAAGGGTGCGTGACGTGACGTGACGTTGCGATTGTGATGGCAAGAGGAGCTTTGCCTTGCTGACTAGCCGTTGTCTGTTTCTCTTGGCAGTGAAGTGGATGTCCGCGTGACTTACTGCGTCATTTCTATCGCCAGTTTGTTCGGTATCTTGACGGATGAGCTCAAGGCTGGTGTGGCGGACTACGTGCTGTCTTGCCAGACGTACGAGGGCGGCTTTGGTGGCGAGCCAGGGAACGAGGCTCACGGTGGATATGCATTCTGTGCCGTCGCAACACTGTATATCCTCGAAGCCGTGCGTCAGATTCGCGACCTTCCTGGACTACTGCATTGGCTTGCGAACCGGCAGATGCCCTTTGAAGGCGGCTACCAGGGACGAACCAACAAGCTCGTGGACGGGTGCTATAGCTTCTGGCAGGGTGCCGTGCCGGCGCTTCTGGCTGAGACAGTGCGAGAGCGATATGGCAAGGACGTGCCGTACCAGTGTCACCAGAAGCAGCTCCAAAAGTACATTCTGCTTTGCGGGCAGGAGATCACAGGCGGTTTGCGCGACAAACCTGGCAAGCCGCGTGATCACTACCACTCGTGCTATTGCCTGAGTGGTCTGTCCGTCGCTCAACACGGTGATGGCCGAGGTGAACCCATCGTGTACGGAGATGCCTCGAATCTTCTAAAGCGCACTCATCCTGCGTACAACATCAGCTACGACAAGGCTATGAGGACGGTCGAGTACTTCCAGGCAAAAGGTTCGTTCCAGCCTGAGTAGAGCGGGTGACATTCACCACACCACGATGCCGATCGACAATTGGAAGCGCAGGCGGTCGACCGTCAACCAACAAGCAGCAAGGTGGGTACTCGTTTGCGTGTGGCTCTGCTACATGATTATGAAGATACGAGATGTTTCGGCTGTGTTATCGCGATTGTTGTCGTCTGTATTGTGAATCTGATGGTCAAGACATTGCACGGATGGACAGGTAGCCAGCGTGGACAGAGGTCGATCCAAGCCAAGTGGTGTGAAAGTGAGCATGACCAGTAACTCCTGCCGACGACTTTGCTTCTTCCAGTCCAGACGGGATGGCCGTGGATTGCGAAACATCTTCTTTGGCCATTCAGGTGTTCTTTCGAGGCCGACGACCTGCTAGCTGATGGCGCTGCTGTTCCTTTATCTCTAGGAAGGGATTGCACGGCGGACTCGCGCTGTACGTCGAACTCAGAGATTGCATACTACCGAGCAGTGACGGTATCATCAACGTTCGACTATGCGTTGGCTGAACGGTTGGCTCAGGGAAGAAGGGCAAGTTGTATCACGAAGCTCGTAAGGTGCTGCACATATATGGGAACACTGCCGGAGCGTTTGTGCAGCACGTGCACGCTTTCCGAACTTTGCATACCGCTTGTCGGATGCAAAGTTCACGCCGAGGAATCTATAGTGATCTGCTCAACCTACGACCAGCCTTCCAGTCACCGCCACTAGCAGATTGAGGTAAGTCTGCAAACTGCTCACTCGAAACACAACTTGAGCGTCTACGCGTTGCGCTCACTTCGTGGGGATAGCCGCGCACAGCCATTTCAGCAGCAATTCTCGCATGGAAAGTCTTTCCCGCAACTGAGCATCCGACTCATTGCCATCCTTACAATCATCCAGCTCGTTCTCTCTTCTCGCTCGTTCCCTCCCTACCCTTCATCTCTGGACTTCGTTGTTGCAGAAGTACCCGGTCGAAGCCCCACTTGTCTCGCTGCTATCAGTTCCGATCGACCTCTTCTTGGCTGGGTGGGACCTTGAGCAAGTGCGACGGAAGACGACTGCCGAGTTTTGGGAGGAGGGAAGCAGTACTTTGAGATAGACCCTCTCGACGATTTGTCCTAGCCGTGCTCATGGATTTGATTGGCACTGGGCACTGGTTGAGAAGAGAGGCCATATGCTGCCAGAAGCAATGGCTGGACCGACGCGTCGTTGTGCTGGACCCAGCTACTGTCACGATGGACTTGACAACACAATGGACAAGTGAACGACTGAACGCAGTTGGTGCTTTGTGCAATATGGTGTGAACCAGTCTAGCCCGCAGATCTCTGTTGCTAGGCTGGCTGATGACTACTGCACAATGACATTGCTCATGTGTGCTGAGCGCACTAGCGCAACAGCTAGTAGCCCCCGACCCAGTCGACTTTGTACCGTACCGGCTCGCCCTTCAGGTATCGATTGAAGTTGTCCAGAAACATCGCGGCTACATCCTCGGGGAACACTTTACCCGATACGTGTGGCGTCAGCAGCACCGACGGGTGTTCCCACAACAGGCTGTCTTTCGGAAGGGGCTCCTTCTCGAACACATCGAGCACAGCGCGTGAAAACCTGCCCTTGTTCAGTGCATCCACCAGCGTCTTCTCGGATATCACGTCTCCACGGCCAATGTTAATGAACACGGGCCTGCGTGAGCGACACAACTCCAGGTTCGTTTCGTTCAGCACGTATCGCGTCGCACTGGTGCTCGGCAGGAGGTTGATGAGGTAGTCGCTCTCGGCTAGCACTTGGTCCAGGCTCGTGGTGACGTGGTCGGCACATTCGGCAAGGTCAGCAAGGCCGTGCTTACTTACGCGGCGCTTGAAGCCCAGCACGTTGTAGCCAAAGCTGCGCAGCATCTTGCCGGTGTATTGACCAATGTCTCCAAGTCCCAGGATTCCCACCGTGACCGACTGCGTAGGACGGAAGCGGATCATGTCAATGCGAGCGTACTCGTGGTTCAGCTGGTACTCCATGGCATCCAGCAACCTTCTTTCGATAGCCGTGACGTATCCCAGCACATACTGCGCCATGATTCGCGGCATCATTCCACCGGCCCGGGTCAGCGTGAACTTTGGCAAAGCCGACCGGTTGTCCCCTTTGGGTAGCAGGTCCAAGTACGTCTCGACACCGACATATGTGGCTTGCACCCACTTGACATTGCTCAGCACGTGCTGCTTGTCTTCGGGTAAATTCTCTTTGGGAGCGAGGAAGACAGGACCACCTCCGTTCGAGTCCATCATGACAACGTCCGCCTGCTCCACGATACGCTGCTGACTGGGCGTGAGGTCCCAGCGTGGCTCACCCGGGTCTTCCATCTTGTGTCCATGAATCGGGTTCTGCTTGTTGCCGACCAACTGCGGCGACGGAATGTCGATAAATTCCAGTTTGCCAGACCGGTAGAGCTCACCTGCTGGAGAGTTGGAAGCGGCAAACTGCGTGCGCACGTTGTCGCCAATGCCGGCGATAAACGTCATGATCGGTACGCGCATCGGTGGTGGCGTCGTCGCAGGGCAAGTTGCATTGGAAGCTGTCGGAGTCGAAGTTGAAGACGCGGTCATACCTATCGCTGGAGGTGACGGGTGTTGATGAGCTCGAAAGCAAAAGTGAGCTGCTCGGGACGACGTTGTGGTGGACTTGCAGGGGTAGGGCATTGACACGACGCTGCGCGTCAAACGTGACGAGCCCAGTGATTGTGCAAACGACCGCGTAAACGATACAGAATCGATCACGACCATTGAAAAAAAAGAGAGCGAGGAGCCCCAACGTGTCGACTGCAGCACAAACATTGGGCGGCCGCTACGACAATGCACCGCGAAGTGGCGAAGATGCACGTCCCAATCGTGTCCTTTTTGAAGGGCATGGGCAGTGCAATGCGCAAGGAGTTTGCGGCATCGTTGACCCCTGCTGGCGATCTGTTCCGTTCCGGCGCACTGGACCTCGTGGACGTCCCTGTGCCGAAACTTGTCGGGAACAGGCAAGATCCGCTGAACGGCCACGCAATGGACGATGCAGGTGCTCCTGCGTGGGACCTCACCGTGGAACAGCAGCGGGCTGTCGGACAGGCCAAGGTCATGGTCATGGATCAACATTCCGGAGGTCCACTGTTTCTCGCACCCGAGGCGAATTTGCCGAAAGCTCTTTGTGGTATCCTCGACAACGTCGAGTGGGTGCAAGGCACGTACGTCGGTGTGGAAGAGTACTTGAGCCGCTTGCCCCACGGAGAGAACGCACTGACGCCGGATCAAGTGCCGCAGTTTACGTTGACTCGAGCAGGGGGGTTCCTGCCCCGTATCATGGGTCAGTACGTGTTTGGGTACGTGACGATGCTCGAACGGATGCTGTTGGAAGCCCGAGACTTTCAAATGAACCGCGAGTATGCTCGACAAAGGCTGATTCAATTCAGACCACCGCAGACGGTGACGGTTGGTATCATGGGGCTAGGAGACATCGGCCAGGGAGTGGGCAAGATGCTCAAAGGTGCGGGGTACAAGGTGCTCGGCTTCAAGCGCCGCGCGAATTCCCAGCTCGATGCCGATCTATCGGCTTGTGCCGACCGTGTCACATCTGACTTGGAGACGGTGCTTTCCCAGAGCGACATTTTGGTGAACGTGCTACCCAGCACGAGTGCGACGCGGTACTTGCTGAACGAGAACAACTTGACCCTTTGTAGAGAGCGCAAACCGGTCTTTATCAACATTGGACGGGGCGACGTCGTTGCCGAGAAGACGATCGTTGACGCTCTGGACAATGGCACGTGGTCGCGTGCTGTCTTGGATGTGTTTGAAACGGAACCGCTGCCACGTGAAAGTGCCTTGTGGACGCATCCGTCCGTGTTGCTCACTCCGCACGTGTCCGGGTACGTCTTTGTGGAAGATGTGGCAAGCATGTTCGTGGACAACTTCAATCGCTACTTGCGAGGTGAGCCCGTTCTGTACAAGATCGACTGGACCACAGGCTACTGACGGACACTGCAGATGGAACGCGGACGCATTGGGGCCAGCTCTGCTTCGTTTGCACGTGTAGATACTTGATAGCCGATCGATGATACATCGTCTGTGCATCAAAAGGGTCTTTGCTTTGTTCCAGTGGTAGATGCGATCGATTGTCGTACGATGAGCAGGACAGGATGAACATCAACTACTGCGTATAGCAGTAGTGCCACAGCGCAGTGTCTACCGCCTCGACAATACGAGCAGCACATATGTCCATGTTTGTGAACAAGCCTCAACATTTGTATACCACCAGGATCCCAGAGACTCGTCGGTCTAGATTCTACACATACTCTGATCGGCCAGAGTCCCCACGTACGGCCCGCGCTTGGACGGGATGGTCATTGGCAATCGACTACCTCGTCCCAAAAGATCTGCCGCCGCTTGGACCGACATCGATACAACGTCACGCTAGTGTTGTGATACACTTCATCGATCGTCCTGTCAACCGGATCCGCATTTTCGATGTGTTCCAGACGCTCGCTCCGAGAGCGCCTTTTGGCCGCAAGATGCCCGACTTGCTCGACCGTCGGGACTACGACGTGTCCCTTACGACGAGCGCGTCGCCACGATCTGACGCGTGTACGAGTCGAGACGCGCAAACAACAATCGGAATTGGTACACCACATGGCAGCACTGCGACCGGACGTTGCATCGGTGCAAGCAAGTGACAAGATCGGACCGGTTGGGCTGAAGTACCTCGCGACAGTTCCGACTGCCCGCAGTCGCCCCATCGCTTCCAGGATCCGTGTGGAAAGCCATTGTTTGGCCTGTTGTTCTTCTGCTGCGGACACCCCTTGCGCTGCACTGCGCGCAAATCAGTCGAGATCGAGCTGGAGGCTCAAAGGCTCTTTCCACCAGTCGTCGTCTACCCCAGCGCGTGCTCGTCCCTGTCAATGAGGATCTTGCTTGCGCAACGGGGAGGTACATTGTCGCTGGTGCCACTGGCAGAGATACCGCCAGAGGGTTGTCGAGCGTTCGCGAGGTCTCTACCAAGTTCGTGGGTACGCGAAATGAACAACAGAGCTTCCAGAGCCACAAACGGCCAACAATGGTCTGATCGTCAATGGTCTGGCTGGATCGGTTGACGATCAGGTGATTGCCTCCGAGTCCGACATTCCCACGGGCATAGCTATTGCCCTAACGAAAGCAGCGCGAACGCAAACTTTTTTAGGGTCAGCGATCGGAGCTCAGCGACGTATGTGGTATGTCGCCCTACTGTTGACGTCGTCGTGGAACGTCCGGTTTCAGGTTTAGCCAGTTCCACGACCAGCTGCTGCAAGCGCTACGTACGACATATCGAGCAATGGACGTGTCCTGTACGCAGTGGCCATCTCTTGATGCCAATGACTGAGAACAGACTGTCAGTGCAGCCACGGGGCTGTACCGTCGGGCAAACACAGTGCTGCCACGTCAACTAGAAGCCCAGCGACCATATTGTTAATGCATTCGCTACGTGTGAAGGTTACGTCTGCTAGTTCCAATGAGTGTTTCTGGTACACACTTCGACGAATGACCACGTGTACATCGAGAACTTGTCGACTTCACTGCACTGTTGCCATCGATCAACCAGCCCGTCCCGCGTACGCCTTACAGCTTCGCAGAGCCTTTCGTGAGGTTCACGACGATCTTGCCAATGTTCTTGCGCTCGTACATATAGTCAATGGCATCTGGAATGCCTTCCAGTCCGTAAAACTTGGACGGGTCCACGCCCGCAGTCAGCACACCACGCTGCGCCAGTGTCGTGAGCTTCTTCGTATGCGCGGGCGCCTCACTGCTGTAGTCGGTGTACAAGAACCCGCGCACGGAAGCGGCCTTGGTCAGTAGTTTCGACGGCAGCGGCATCGTGGTCTCGCTGGCCTTGTGCTTCCACGTGCTCGAGTCCTGGTAGCCCGCAATCGCTCCAACGACAATGATGCGACCCTTACGCGCAATGTTGTCGACGCACGTCTCAAACATCTCTCCGCCCACGCTCTCGAACACAAGGTCGACACCACGCGGGTACTCCTTCTGGAGCACGTCATGCACCTTCTCTTCACGGTAGTTGATGGGACGGTCGCAGCCGATCGAGCGCAGGTACGCCACCTTCTCGGGCGAGCTGCACGTGCCAATCACGTGGTTCCCAGCTAGTTTCGCCAGCTGCACAGCAACTTGACCCGTGGCTCCAGCTGCCGCGGTGACCATCACCGTCTCCCCATGCGTCATCCCACCCACGTGGTCGAGTGCTATGGACGCCGTGAGGCCACACAGGACCGTTGGCAGGACCTCGGGCACAGCAGCAGGGACCTTGATGAGACGGCTCTCTTGGGTTACCAAGTGCTCAGCAAAGGCGCCAGCCGCTGTGTTAACATGGCACAAAAAAAGCAGCAGAAACAGTCAAGAAAACGCGTCCGTTCATCACGAGAGCGACCAGTTCGATGAGCAGATAGATGACAGCGCGTCACGCACAGGCGAAAACGACCGCGTCGTCTTTCTGGAGCTTTTTCACACCCGGTCCGACGTCCAGGACCGTGCCCACTGCACCAATCGAGCCACGCAAGTGTTTTCACATACAAAAGAACGTGTCGCAGTGAGCTATTGTGCGGTCTGGATGTACGGCAGAAAACAACAGGGGACAGTCGTAGTGTAACGGCTATTGCGTCGTACAGGCCTCAAAACCACAGGCAAAAGGCGGCTCGACGCCGGACAAAAAGTAGGCGCCGTTCGTGTAGTTGATGTCGGACGCATTGATGCCGCAGTACTTGACCTGCACGAGGACGTCGCTGGGCTTGAGCGCCGGCACTTGGAACGCCACGATGGCCGTGCACGCACGAAAGTCCGTCGACAGCTTTGTGCACACGATCTTCCGGGACTGCACCATGGGGCTTTTCCGAGACTGAGCGAGAATTCCGGACGATCGATCCCGTTTGGACCGGCCACGACGGCGAACTTACGGAATGCCACGTGGAGAGCCATGTTCGCACCTACGCGCTCACTCACAGACCCCTTGTTGACCTACGTACACTTCAAGCCCCAAGGACGAACATCTAAGAGCTAACTCTTCGACCCAAGACGTAAGACGTAAGCAAAGACGACAACAATGGACCTATATATTTCGCACTGCTCCGACGCACTGACTCACTTGACATGCACTACGGTCGCTTCATCATTTGGTCCGTCATAGAGCCATGTCAACGTCAGTGTCCATGGCCTGCGAGACGGTGAACGATAGCTTACCACTGCTCTCGGTAACGTCCACTTGGGTCTTGGCATGAAGCTGGCCGGAAATAATGAGCTTGCTCAGGTCCGTCACGACGTGCTTCTCAATGTACCGCTTGATCGGGCGTGCACCGTACTGCGGATCGTACGCCTCGTCCAGGATCACATCCAGCGCGGCTGTCGTCACGTTCACCGCGATCTGGGCTTCCTTCAGCCGCCTAATGACCGAGTCGAACTGCAGCAACACGATCTGACGCAGCTCCTTGCGGCCCAGCGGCTCAAACACCACAATATCGTCCAGCCGGTTCAGCAGCTCCGGTCGAATCGTGTGCCGCAATTGCTGAAGCACGAGCTTGCGCTGCTTTGCAAACTCCTGCTTCCTGTGGCTCTCAGCATCGACAAAGTCGCCCTCGGTCTTGAACTTCTTGTTCGCGCGCGGCGACAGGTCCGGTTCAAACAGCAGATGCTCTGCACCAATGTTGGACGTCATGATAATCACTGTGTTCGCAAAGTCAACGGTGCGTCCGTGCGTGTCCGTCAATCGACCATCGTCCAGCACTTGCAGCAGAATGTTGAGCACCTTGGGGTGCGCCTTCTCGATCTCGTCCATCAGGACCACGTTGTACGGGTTGCGGCGCACGGCCTCTGTCAGCTGACCACCTTCACTGAAGCCGACGTAGCCGGGTGGGGACCCAATCAGTCGCGAGACTGTGTGCTCCTCCATGTACTCGCTCATGTCGATGCGCACCATGTGCTTGTCATCGTCGAAAAGCTCGTTCGCAAGTGCCTTTGCGAGCTCCGTCTTGCCAACACCGGTAGGGCCGAGGAAGAGGAAGCTACCAGTTGGCTGTCCCGTGCGCGCAAGTCCAGCCCGCGATCGCAGCACAGCGTCACACACGGCCTTTACTGCCTCTTCTTGGCCTACCACACGCTCGTGGATGCGCTCTTCCAAGTGCATCAAACGGTCGCCCATGCTTGACGTCAGGCGGGACACTGGGATGCCCGTCCAACGAGCCACTACTTCACAAATCTGGTCGTCGCGCACAACTTCTTCGACCATCTTGTGCTGTGTCTCGTCTTCGTCTTCGCGCATCTTTGCTTCCTCTGCTGCTGCAATACGGCGTCTGACGTCGGGGATGGCGTAGTACTGCAGATCAGAGGCGGTCTGCAGGTCCTGGTTGCGTTCGGCCTGCTCTGCCTTCAGCTGCAAGTTCTGGAGCTTGTCGCGGAGCTGTCGGATTTCATTCACGCGAGCCTTTTCCGCCTCGTGGCGCAGGATCAACGGACTGAGCTCGTCCTGGATCTTGTTCAACTCTTCTTGCACCTTTTTCAAACGCTGCTTGCTCATCTCGTCCTTCTCCTTTTCAAGAGCAGTAGCCTCAACTTGTAACTGCAGCTGCCGGCGCTCGAGTTCATCAATGACTTCGGGCTGACTGTCCAGCTGGACACGTACGTTCGCGCACGCTTCATCAACGATATCGATCGCTTTGTCTGGCATGAATCGTTCCTTGATGTAGCGGTCGGCGAGCTTAGCAGCAGCCACGAGAGCTGCATCCATGATCTGGACACCATGGTGCGCTTCGTAGCGCTCCTTCACACCTCGCAGAATGCTTACCGTGTCCGTGACAGACGGCTCACTCACCTGCACCTGTTGGAACCGCCGTTCAAAAGCCTTGTCCTTCTCCACGTGCTCGCGGTACTCGTCCAACGTCGTTGCACCAATGCACCGCAGCTCGCCTCGTGCCAACATAGGCTTCAGCAGGTTCGCAGCGTCCATTGCACCGGACGTTTGACCAGCCCCGAGGATGAGGTGCATCTCGTCAATGAACAAGATAATCTTGCCGTCACTGTCCTTCACTTCCTTCAGCACGGCCTTCAGACGCTCTTCAAACTCCCCGCGGTACTTGGCCCCAGCAATCAGCGCGCCCATGTCAAGGCTAATGAGTCTGCAGTTCAGCGACTCGGGCACGTCGCCAACAACGATCCGTCGTGCCAGCCCTTCGACGATCGCCGTTTTCCCGACACCCGGCTCGCCAATCAGCACGGGGTTGTTCTTCGTCCGTCGCGACAAGATGCGAATGACCCGGCGGATCTCCTCGTCGCGTCCAATCACCGGGTCAATCTTGCCGGCCTCGGCCAGCTTGACCAGGTCCTGGCCGTACTTGTTGAGCGCGTCGTAGTTCTCCTCGGCCGCCGCGCTCGTGACGGGCCGTCCGCCCCGCATCTTCTGCACCGCGTCCTTGACCTGGTTCTCGTCCATCTGGTTGCTCTTGAGCAGACTCGCGACTTGCGAGTTGTTGTACAGCGCCATCACGAGGTGGTCCGCCGCCAAGTGCGAGTCCTTGAGGTCTTTGCGCATCTTGTGCGCGTACTTGAACAGCTTCATGAGCGCCGAGTCCGCGCCAATTGAATCGGGCGCAGGCGACTGCGTCGGCAGCTTCTTGAGCTGCGCCATCACGTCCTGTTGGAAGCCACTGCCGTTGCCGTGCACCAGGTCGGCCACGCGCTTGGCCGTGCCGTTCTTGTCGTCAAACAGCGCGTGGGCCACGTGCAACGGCGTGAGCTGCGCGTGGCCCAGTTCTTCGGCCAAGTCGTGGGCGTTGCGCAGGTACTCGTTCGTCTTGTCGGTGAATTCCGCCGGATTCATCGCGTTTGATTGGGTATGGGCGTGTATCGAGTGGTAAAGGATTACGCTCTGTCAATCACTTGTGTCTTTGTGTGCAAATGTGAGAATGAGACTGGGCAGGCGACGATGGCTGCGGCCGAGCGATGTCGAAGCTTCCAGAGCGGACTTAGCGGGAGAGCATACGAAGTCCAAGACAAGTGGGGGAGAACGGCACCATGTGACAGGACAAGTCGTTGCTGATTGGCAGACCACTTCGACCTGCGGAGGCGGTAACGCGTGATCGAGAAGTATCTCGGTTGTTCGACGAGAAAAAAGACGACATTTGACAAGTCGATGCAGTGTACAGTATTCCGGATGGTATACGGGCCAGCGTGTATACCACTCACGGAAGGTAACACGCGTTTCTAAATTTGCTGTCCAATTGATTTTGGGCTCTAGCTGTTACATAACTTACGAATTTGATATTGGCTTGTACGGAAAGACGAATAGAGCATTGAGACTTCGTTTTGTTCGGCGGTTACCGTAAACGGCAGCTTGACGACGCTATTTCTTCGGTGCGGCTATCGACACAGTTACGCAGATCAACTCAAAGCATAAACAGTGACAATCACAATGGGTTGCTGCGTAACGTGGCAACAACTTGCGCTCTTGCGGGTTGTACAATCGATACGACAACTCGAAACAAGTGGGTTCGAAACAATTGTAGGCATTGTCTCGGACCACCCGTTCAATCCACTTGACGAGCGGATGACCCATGAGGGTAGCTACAAAGTAGCAGTGCTGATAAATGTCCCTGTTGCAACATCACCCTCGCCAATGACGCCTCGCAAAGCTGAGCTTGAGGTACGCCGGTTCCTGTCTCTGTCTCGCTGCTTTTGCAGAGCTCGTTTGACTTCCTGAGTGTAATCCAAACCGTTGCATCCAGCGACTCCACGATACGTGCTTACGCGTCAGCGACACTATCTACATCGACTTGACGTGTTCGCTGTCGCCAACTAATGGCCCGAGGACGCCGCTCATCGCTGCTAGAAGCTGCGCACTGAACTCGTTGTCCGAAAACCTGGACGATGACTCACGAGCTGCCAGTCGCATTGCAAGCGATTCCGCCGGAGACTTCTCCAGCAACGACAAGATCTTGTCAGCATACTCATCCGCCGTCAGCGCCAGACACCCCGTCTCTGGCTTGACAATATCGGCCTTGGGACCGCCCGAGTTGTTCGCAACCACAAGCATGCCTGCTGCCATCATCTCCACGTTGCTAATACCAAAGTGCTCGTTGTACATGGTGTGCACGCCAATGGAGCTCTTCGCAAGACGCTGCTTCAGCTCAGCAAAACTCGCATTGACCACAAAATCGACACGGTCAGCAATACCCAATGATTTTGCCTGCTGCTTTAGCGTCTCCACACGTTGTTCGTCCTCCGCATTGCGACAGCTACCGAGCAAAACAAGGCGGAAGTCGTGGTACTTGGTCGCCATCTTCTCTCCATGTTTTGTGAACAGCACCTGCACAGCTTGGAGCTGCAACAGCTGGTTCTTCTCGGGTCGAAACTGAGATATCGAGAGCGCCATTGGCACGCGGTTTTCCATACTAAAGTCCATGTACTCTTGCATTGCACCACAAGGAGGGTACACGATCGTAGGGGTCTTACCCCACAGCTGCTTGATATGATTGTACGTCCACGTCGAGTTGACCATTGCAACGTCCGTGCAGTACTTGCCCACGAGGCTGTACGCACCAGCAAAGAGCCGATAGTACATGTACTTGCCAATCGACCTCATCGAACTTGCAGCGATCGTTGCGTCGTTGTTGAAGCCAGCACGACGCTGCTGCACTTTCGCAATCATGTCGGTAGATATCATGGGATAGTGCACATACGCCACGACGTTGCAGGCGTACAGCAGACTGGCAATCACGTACGAGAACGGACACCCCGTCGTGTCGATCCATATTTGTGGGTACAAGTGCTGCTCCGCACTCTGCTGCAGCGCTTCGCGCGCCAGCTTCATGTGGGCCACACTCTGCCACAGCAGCGTGAAGCTCGGGTAGTGACTGGGGTCGAGGATCCGGTCGCGACTCGGGAGCTCCACGAGCGTCAAGTGCTGTGCCACGTGCATCGTCTCGAGTTCGACGAGGTTGAACGCTTCAGCTGCCCGTGCTACGAGCTCTTGGGCCGAGAGGCCGTCTTCGCCTGTGTACAGCACGATCTTCAGCGTCCTTTCCGTCTGTTTAACCGCTCGGACTAGCGCCAATAGCGCGCAGTAGAGCACGCGCTCGCCGCCGCCGCCGCCGTTGGCGTACGGGTGGAAGACGCCGATCGTGACGGCCGTGGGAGACACCTTGCGCGCTGCATTGCGGACGAGTGAGAACGTGCGTCGGTGGTGGTGTACGTAGATAGCAATGGCGACGGCGACGGCGATCGCTGTGGCGAAGAACGCGACAAGGAGCAGCCCGAGCAGAGGCATTGGACGACTCGGGTCGTGTTGTGTGCGTGTTGTTTGGTGTGTCGTTGGTGTGTAGCCCTGCTGAATTGATACGTGTGTGCGTGTGGTTTGGTGTGCCATTGGTGTGTGGTCCTGCTGAATTGATACGTGTGTGTGTGGAATGTGTGTGGAATCAAAAGAAAGACACGTCAGGGGAGATCGACGAGCGTTCGACCTGTCGGTCATTGTTGCTCGTGTTCGTCTGTGCTGTCCAACGAGGGGAAACCATGTTTTGACGCGGCTTCGGATGGCAATTGCGAGCTTAACGTTGGGGGCGTTTTGTTTTAAACAAATGTGCTCTTCAGGGCAGTTTAGGTGTGTACGCACGCTCGTGCAGAATCGACTTGCGATCTCCGAGTCGCCATTTTTGAACAGATTGAAACCGTCGCGCACTGTTTACGACCATTTCTTTGCATTGACTTGGGGCACTACCTAAGCTTACGGGGAAAAATTGTCTGAGACGATCGGATGCAGAGCACTCTCATTTGTCCCCATAGTAGATCCGGTTGCCAGCCATTGCTCGACATAGCTCGTCAAGGTGCTGATCGGTGCCAGGGTCGTCTCCTTGTAGATGGCGAGCTCGCGAAAGTTACGACCGCGTCCGACCGATTCCAGGCATCAATAGCAGCCAGCCTCTGCGCTCGACTATCTACTTGCTCATTCGTGTATACTTTTTGGTCAATGGCGCACGAATTGGAGGCCGGAAGTCACTGAGTGTAGACCCTGATGTCGCGATGAGCGTGCATTACGGTCTACAAAAGGCTGTACGGCTGAACTAGATCGGCAAAGATGACGAGGTCGACTATTGTCGACTTTTGGGCAGTAGTTCCGCGCACACAATCCTTTCGCTCCAGCTCAAGAAGCACTGCTCGTTTGCCATATACTAGAAAGATTTACAATGACACATCGGGCAAAGACGCACGCTTGCTTGTTTGCTGCAATGAGTTTTTGCAGCATTATGTACACAACATGCATCGAGTCGATGTGCTTTACGGCAGAGATCAATGCAGAATGAGGTTCGTGCTCACGTACATGATGGATACAAGCTACCTGGTCTCACATATCTCGCGTGTGTGTGCATTTCTAGGGCCTTCCTTCATCCGTTACACATACTGCCTGTGTGACAGATGAACGAAAGCACGAGCACAGATGGCAACGATACAGCACAGCTGTCGTCTCTGTACTCGCACTGGCATGACATTGTCCGCATACCGCCATCAACTTCATCGATTTCGAGCCGGGTCAGCGTCGACGCTGTAAACTGAGACACGAGATACTGTCGAGAAAGCATGTTGAAAATAATGCGGCTAATCGTTACTAGCGTATGTCCCGACATCGAATCCGTCTCACCATCTTGCATTCATTTGGGGCGTCAACGTGAGACTGTCATAGCTGTGGCGGATCCGGTAATCTTGTGGCCATGTATGTCTACAGCCATCGCCACGATCCAGTCTTTACTTCATACCGTGAGGTACAAGACCCATTTTAGCTCATGCGCTGCTCTACTTGCTCATAAAGATGAGTGCGGGGCTCGGGCTTTCCGGTCACGGTGGTGGAGCTACGACAAACGAAGAATTGATCTCCACGATCCAGACGCGCAAAAGGTACCGCACAGAAGGTCATTTGCTTATCAGGCGATGATGCGGTAGTGGCGACGCTCACATCGCGTTCGCAATCATTGCAACAATGTCCAGTGGTCTATGGGTACCCTCACGCGCTCTTTCCTTGACATTTATGCGAACACGCAATGCGGAAAGCGAACCTACTTTCCAGACCACCGATGTGAAAGGCAAGGTGAGGTGTAGTTCAGCAAAATGTATAGTAACTCGGGATAGACACTTCGATTGGATCGAGTTTCGATGTGCGTGACTCTTCGACGGTACGCGTTTCGAAGATGAGTGAATGCAGGCCGAACAGCTATGCCCGTTTGTAGTATATGTCGCTGCGCACCGAGCAACGCCAAGGGCCTGCATATACCTCCACCTGCGATTCCATTTCACACCCTGCAGTGCACATTCCTTTGCTTGCGAAGTCGCTTAGCATCTCTGGCGGCTTCAGCAACTTCGACGATCCGCTATTCGGTTGCGATGGCGAGATAGAAGCGAGAGCCACTGCTGTGACGATGTGGCGAGGGCCCATAAGTACCGACCATCAAGCGCTTTCGTTACATGTTTGTCCTCGAGAGCCGCTGGATCTGCGCTTGCTTTTCCGGACCCGGAGTCGGGTGGTGTTGCCATTGTCGACAAGACGCGCATGCTGCAATTTAGCAAGAACACCCACGTAGCTTGTGCTAAGCAAGAGACATGCACAAAGCCGATGACTTCTTCATCATATTGATCAGGTGGCGGCATGCAACGCAGTCACGATCTACGCAACGCCAGCCCCGACATTCGCGTCTGCCGTGACAGCTCGTGAAGAGAAACACCTGTGTACAGACTTTCGTTTCAGCGGCGATCGCTGCGAGAGAACTCCTTGCATCAGTCGTTGCTTCGGTCAGTCTGATTGCACCGACGCATTTGCTACATTCTAAACAGACAGTCGGCCTTCGAGACTTTATGATCGCTTGAATCATCCGCAAGGAACCCGCCGCGCATCTTCTGTGCGTGTGCCGGTGTTCCGTATAGTCATCGATTCAACAACGACAGATGGGTAACACCGCCGTGTCGCAGGAAAAGTGGCGTCTGTAAATGCGTTTTAACTGAGTGGATCCCCTTTGGGTGTTGAAACTGGACTTTACCCTGAAATGTCGGCTCCGGATGTCAGTCTGTCTGACTGTGTCGGTCGTTGTTGTTCACTGACTGACTCAACACAACGCGTCGTGACTCATATAAACCCAATCATCGTCGCCCATTTGTGCGCAAAAAAGACGCTTTGGTGTCCACACCTCCCGTGCTTGTCCCCATTTGCACACGTCAAATGAGTCCTTCCATAAAACTCACGCCACCGGAATGTCCCCATTTCCCAATTGCACGCGTCCACCACAGCGACCGCATCCATTCAAGAGCTCTTCGCTCGCAGCTGCCGAGATCGTCCCCATTGCCCCCCACCCGCTCGTGCTTCACATGGCAACAAAGACGCCGTCTCAATTCGTCTTCCGCTATCGCAGTAGCCGCGCCCGGCGCCACTCGCGGTCAATGGTGCACTGGAGTTGGCTCCACGCGATGGCCTACTCGTCTGCCGTCGTCGCATCTATTGTCTACATGCACAAGCAGCTGACGATCTATTTCCACAGTGCTGACGCTCAGCAGGTGGACAACAAGCTGCTGTACGATCTGTCGACAGTCGCTACCTCTGGCATCAAGCAGCTGGACGGACTGCATCTCGTGCTGTCGGACTTGGCGTCGACACTTCGCTGGCTGCTCGTGATGCTGTCGCTTGCAGTCTGGCTCACCACGCTTCTCGTATCCCGTCGGTGCCACTTGTACTCGCTGCTTTGCATCGCGGCCACACGTCTCGGCTGCTACGTGCATCGATTGCGCGAGTGGAGTTGCAAGCAGCGACATGGCGGCAAGCGCCGTCGCCATCGCCACAAGCACAAGCAGGCGTCTTGTCTTCATCAATCGACAGCTTGTGTGGAGAACTGGAACGAGATGGACGTGGAGATCGACGAAGACGATCTGCTGATTGTGTCGTCGCTGTCTTCTGCGCCACGTCGCCACCGCAGTGTGGAAAAGCAAGCCAGTGACGTCGACGAACATAGTGGACAGGGTCGCTGGTCTTCTGACGACACGGGAAGCGACAGTCTCGTTGGCTGTCGCGACACACGGGAACGAGCTGAAAAGATCGTGCTGCATCCACGGGAAGGTGCTCGAGGCGGACGACATCAGAACAACCAGATCATCTCGAACGACTCGTACGTGAGCCGGTTGCATTTCCAGATCCAGTACGACCCAATGGAGAAGGAATACTATCTCCAGGACCTCGGCAGCACCACGGGAACGTTTGTGTTCCTCAAGCCGGACGCACCCAAGCGTCTGCACGTGAACGACCGCGTGAAGTTGGGCGACACGGAGTTTGAAGTGTGTGCCATCAACGAGACGATCACGACCGGTATGCCGTTCTTGCGCATGCGCTTCACAGAGGGTCCACTCACTGGCATCTGCCAGACGATTGGCAAGACGTCCGTGACGCTCGGGCGGTACTCGAGCAACGCATTGTGTATCACCGAGGACGACTCGATCTCAGGCAAGCACAGCGCGATCTCGTACTTTGGCAATGGGTTCTACATCACGGACCTCCACAGCACGAACGGCACGGCCATCCGTCTCAGCGGAAGTGGCAGGAAAAGCCGACGGCGCTATCTGCTACATGGTGACGTGTTTGGCGTGGGCTCGAATCGGTTTATGGTGGAATACTCACACCAGTTGGCCGCCCAGCGTCGCCTGGCAAAGGTCATCAATGAGAGTCACGAAGACGAGGACGACCGACGTGCGGAAAGTGAGTCGTAGCCGGGAGGTGTTTATATTTATTCCATTGCGTCCTTGCAGCAATAACGTCATACTGCCGAGGACACAACAAGACGATGTTGGCCAACCAGCCGTTTGCCGAGAGACTTTGGCCGCAATGTCCACCTTTCGCACAGCGCTATCGAACATTTTTTTGTGTGGTATTGCTCGCCGTCCGGTTCCTCATCGGGCGACGAAGCACCAAAAGAGGAGCTCATTTGTGTCAGTAGCACCCAAAAGAGAGCGACGGAGCTACTTTTAGGGTCTGTGCATGGTTTTACACGCTCTTTTGGCGCTCAGTCAAGTGCCATACCAACGCAGCTGGCGAGAGTATCCGGAAAAGGTTTACCTCTCGAATCGCATTTCGAAAGGTGGTTGGTGTCCGGCCAAACAGCCACTACAGGAGAAATAGCTCCTCCGTCTATCGGGCGCTCTGACTGACGTGTGCCCACCCACCCACCTATCTATCTGTCTGTCTATCTGTCTATCTGTCTATCTGCCTGCAATGGCGACACGCCGTATCCTGGAAAAAGAGATCGAGGCGAGTGTCTCGTTGTTATACATGAGGCGTCCATGTGATACGGTCGTGGACACTGCAGCCACAAAAGGTCCCCGTGCTGGAGCTGCGAAGGACAGGGACGCGTTGCACGAATCGCTGATGAAAGTGGTGGCGAAACAAGTGCCAAACGAGCTGTCTCTGCGACAGAAGCTGTACGTGAAGAAGAAGTGTGGTGCACGTCTCACGGCATTGTCGCGGGAGCTGACGCTCGAGGAGTTGCGCCCGCACTTTGGTCAGCCCATCGTCGAAGTTGCTCGGGAATTTGGCATTTGCACGACGTTCCTCAAGAAACTCTGTCGCCAATGCGGTATCAAGCGCTGGCCACATCGCCAAATCCGGTCGCTGAACCGTACGATCCAGATGCTGGAGCAAGTGGAGTCGAAGGCGACGAGTTCAGAGGAGAAGGCCACGTACGCGGCACAGATTGAGGAGCTCAAGGACAAGCAGCGCGCAGTGATGGAAGACCCTGATGTGACTGGTGGACTGAAGCGCATGAAGAAGCTCGGGGGTGGGTCCAAAGGAACTACTGCTGGACACATTCCAGCGCGTGCTGATCAGGACAAGGAGTTGTTACCGTCCATGACGATGACGCGTGACGGTGACGATGCCAAGAATTTACTCGCGCTCGCTGTTGCAGTGGACTCTATGTCTGGCCATATCGAGAGCAGTGAAGCTGGCTTGCTGAGGGCAAAGAGTCGAGAGGGAGGGAGATTGTCGCCACCATCGCTGGGGGTACATATTCCCTCCTCGAATTTGTCGACGGTACCCGTTCCGTCCTCGTTGATGACGCCCATGCAGGCTGCACTGGCTACAAGTCAGTGTTTGAAGTCGCTCCGAATGTCTCCGACGCATCGAATAGCGACGGCGGAGAATCGTTGTGATGCCAAGAGCCAATTTGACAGCTTCTCCGTCGCTTCGTTGCAGCGTAAGCCCTTTTGTATGGGAAAGCGCTAACACGCCAACAACAAGAACGACGTGACACGATGAAAGTATCACATAGTGAAAGTATCGCGGAAGGCTATAAATATAATATTTGAAACTCGTCTGAATGCGAATGAGATGTCGTATCTGTCGGTCTGTGTGTCGAATTGAAACTGCCACTTCCAAGTTGCAAAAGCTGTTCACGAGACTCGAAATGGACGACACAATGACGGCACAAAAGACCGAGTCGGCGGACAATAAGAAGCTGCTGTTCGAGTGCAATATATGTCTCGATACGGTATCGTGTCCAGTAGTGACGCTCTGTGGCCACCTCTACTGGTAAGTCGCCATCGGTCGATCTGTGACTTCTATCGCCTCGCAGCTCTTTGTATATGCACTAACATTCTGCGTGCGGTCGATATTTTGTCTCCAGTTGGCCGTGTCTGTATCAGGTAAGAACGACCGCTTTGTCACATTGTTGTTGACCGGCAAAAGCTGCTTGTGATTGATGTGATGCCTGTGAGCAGTGGATGCACAACCATTCCGAGTGTCCCGTGTGCAAGGCCGGCATCAGCGAAGAGAACGTGATTCCTGTGTACGCAAGAGGCGCCGAAGCTGTCGACTCAGAGTGAGTGGACGACAGTGCTCGACAGATGCAATCATCACGAGATGCATTGCAATGACCGATGACGTTGTTGTTGTTGTTGTTGCCGCAGAACACATCATCAAATGTTTGACAGTGGCGTTCCCCGTCGTCCTCGAGGACAGCGACCAGATGCTGAGCAGCTTCGACGACGACGGCCGTTCAATGTACGCATAATAGTGCTCACGTGGAAGTTGTGCTGACTAATGCAACGTCATTGCATCCGATGGTGGCGGCGACAGTTTGGCATCTTTACTGGATACGGACAAGGGACTCCATTCGCCGGATCACCTTCCCTCGGTTTCTCCGCGGCATCATTCGGCATTCCCTACGTAAGCCCGCAGCTTTTCACAAGCGCCAACGCGTCTGCTTGACATGTTTAATACTGTTGCATTGTTTGTGCTTGGTTGTAGCAACCACCAGCACCTGGCGCGCATGATCAAGATGGCAGGCCCCTGACGCCACAGGAGGCGCGCCAGCAGACGCAACAGGCGTTTTTATCCCGACTCCTTTTGCTTGTTGGTATCCTTGTGATCCTCTGTGTCATCACATTCTAGTCCAAGTACAGCTACACTGCAGCGGTATGGCAAGTAGTACAGACCTGTCAATGCCACTTTCATCAATCGTTTTAGCACGTGTTCTTCACACACGACACAATAAACGCGTTGTCACTGGAAAATGTGCCAGCTACGCAAAGCGTCCGTTGTTTACATCGACTGTTGCGCTCGTGCACACGCTTCTTTCGCCGCTCCTTCCTGCTCTTTTTCCAGCACAGCGCACACGTACTCCAAATTGCCAGCGATAGCATGGAGATCGCTCTCTGCAGCAGCTGCCCAGTCCGCAAAGTGGTTCAGGTCCTGCAACAAAAGTGCACAACAAAATGAGGACAGGAGCAGTCCATCACCCTCGAAAGAGAGACAGAGACAGAGACAGAGGGAGAGATCTTCGGTCTGAATCCTACAGACGGACATCTAAGCTCGCGCGGAAGCGTTTCTGCTCCGCTTTCCACCTCGCAGCGCGTTGACACAGCGCGTTCACGTTCTTCGCGTACACAAGCGCCTCTCTCTCGACGTTTCGCTGCTCGTGGACCGCACCGTCCAATCTCTTCACGAGCATTCGACTCTGCGCGGCCTTCAGCGCGTCCAGCGACTCGGTCAGCTGCATCTGTGCGTGCACTAAACACAAACGATGTGAGCGACGCAGCGACGCAGCGACTGGAGACATACAGACATACATACAGTTCGCATTTAGGCCCTTCACGCAGGACACACACACACACACACCTCGGTCGTCGCGGTGCTGGTCCAGTCGCGCTATCGCGGCCTTTACTTCGTGCGTGCGGACGCTGCTCATGTTTTTTGTTGCGCCCATTAGCGTGCGGTAACGATGGCGTTAGAGTCGCGCCAATAGAAACGAGACCATTTCTAAACTCGACCAATCAAATCGACTCCTCGCTTCGTGGCCGTCCACTTGGCCCCACTTGCGCATTGTAGAACTTGACACGTGGGTACAAACAGAGTCGAAATAGAGGCCGGTGGCCCAGTGTAAATTGGTCCGAATGGCGCGTAAAAACGCGAAACCTGTCAAGCCATCGGCTCCATCGCCGACGACAAACGACGTCGGGCGGACTGAAAAGAAGCAGAAACAGCCAACGGATGGAGAGGAACTGGCGCCGTCGGGCGTCTACGGGTGGATCCTGAAGCTGCTGGCGGTCGTGGCAGCTATGGCCGTGACGTACTACTTTCGTCAACTGGACTCGGAGGCGGCCCGTTTTGCCCGTTACATCCCTCGGAAGGACGTGACGGACCGCTTACGACTCAATGTCACGTGTGTCTCGAGTCGTGTGCGTGTGTAGCGCTGAGAGACACCTGCGTTTGGTGGATGGACAGGGGATCGGTGTCGCACGTGGTTGTTATTGACTGGTGTCTATGGTACTGCGTTGTGCCTAGGAATCCGACCTGTTCGTGCCAGGGTGTCACCTGGAGGACGGCGCCGTGTGCGGCCGCGTGCTGATGGACAACTTTATAAAGCCCGAGGAGGTGATGCGACTGCGGGAGATTGCCGAGATCGGGATGGAGAGTCGCTCAAAGATTGGCGGGCCCACGATCATGGACATCAACACGGGCTTTGTCCGCAATAGCGAAGGGCTCGTGAACATCTACCAGCCTGATCGAAGGATTCCAGACGAGGACAAGCCGGGCGTCAAGCGTTTTGACAAGAAGCAGTTCAGCCTCTACCGTTCGTAAGTGCACCGAAGACTGCCATTTTTCTCATTGCAGACGGGCTTCGGACGGGTGTGACTCACCTGTTGACTGCTTGTTCCGCTGGTGTTGCACAACGTCACTGCTGCTGCTGCTGTTGCGGACAGTGTTGTTCACAAGATCCGCCGGGCAGTGATGAAAGAGTTTGGTCTCGAAGAGCTGTATTTTTCCGCTCCTACCTTTATGGCTCGTTTGATCGGTAATGACTCGTGGACTCCTGTTGAGATCCACGACGAGTACTGGTACGTCTCGTTTCGGACTTTGCTTGATGTTGGACCCTTTACATGATTTGCTGTATGGCAGGCACCCGCACGTGGATAAGGAAAACACAAAGCATTATGACTACTCGAGTCTCCTGTACCTGTCAGACTATGGCGAGGAGTTTACGGGTGGGCTCTTCTCGTTCATCGACGGGGACAATGAAACGGCTGTCGAGCCTGCTCGTGGCCGCCTCTTGATGTTCACGGCTGGCTCTGAAAACCTGCACGTTGTGCGCAAGGTCAAGACCGGCACGCGCTATACGATGAGCATTTGGTTCACTTGCGATGAGAACAGGCAGTTTAAGAACTTCCTGGACAGACCGATGCACACGCTCCATCGACCCACCTAGAAAAGGGGACTCGGCTGCAAGATTGCTGTACGTGTACATTCGCGCGTACATGTGATAGGTCTTCGGCGGTAGCAGATGTCTAGCATTACCACCTATGTGCAATGGAGACCCTCGAAGCGATTGATGATCACGACTGTTTCGACGATCTTCTTCCTCATCTCGTTTTCGATTTCATGGCCATTGCGACTCCTGGTCCACGCCTCACTGTCTAGACGATTGCCCTGCTGTAGTGTGGCATGCAGAAGTGCTCTTATACTGGAGAACGTGCCCCTCTTGTAACGGGGTGAGCCCGTGGCATGGAATTGGTACCAGATTGGGTCAATGTGAATACTTTCTTGATCGACAACATTTGTCAACATCTACCTCGCCAAGTAAACATGGACGGAATCTTACCTATCTACGGCAATATTCAGCACCGCCCCGCTCATGGACCATTAGATCAGCTAAAATAACTGCCAATCGCTGCGGGACGCGCGCAATGCATGGTGAGCAAAACCTGCATTTGGAGGTTGTAGGTTAACAAATAGTGTAAGTGAGATCGAAAGAGATGAAATTCGTAAACTGAACTCTAGTAAATGCAGTTCAACTTTTTTCGTCTCTCCAATGTGCATGTGTAAAAATTACGCTTTCCTCTGTGCTCACATTGTTTGTGAGGATTCATAGTTCATGATCACACTGTGCCAGTGTAGCTGTAGCTTGCAGAGTGTCAGTACAAGCGGAGGGTTCCCCGTTTCATATCCGCTACATATCGATGGGTCATCCATGGCCGCCTCTCACATCAATCCATCACGACCAATTGTGCTCATTGCTTTGCAATGGACACTATTGATTTACATCACATCTGGCCTCTATTCTCAACCAAAATTTGTAGACAGGCCGTACGTTTTGCATTGCTAGTGCGACTCGTTGTAACAAGCTGAGGAGCGCTTGTGGAAACAAAAGCAGAATCATGAAGTGCCGTGCAGACATGCAACGAAAAGTAGCACGTAGTCGACAAATGCGCAGTCCATTCCTTGTCGAATACAGCAGCTAAAGCCGATGAGCATAGCCTGTCGCTTTCTTCTTGCATCAAGGTTCACGCGCTTAGCAAGCTTTTGTCATGAAAGCAAAAGAAGCGCATGTACTCGATGGTATATTAGCGCTCTTGTCAGCCTGCAATTCGGCACAAATGATTCGGTAAGCTATGTGATCGAGTGGTCCATAGAAAATCAGGTTGAACAGAAGGAGGCAGGAAAATTAAGTGCAATGATATTCGCGCGATGTTCTTATAAGTGGACAGTGTCTGGACGTAGATACTTGCCCGCTACGACGTTGTTAGACCGTACACAGACGAGCTTCATACATCACGAAGTTATTTTCGATCGGTACTGGCGCAGTGGTTGGTGAAAAGCCACATCGTATCAATGTAATGAATACAAGTCGAAGCGCCCTGGTTGAAAAACCTCTAGTTGTCTTTGGCTCAAATGGGATGGTGTTGCTGAAGGCGCAGCGAAATTTGCTATACAATAAGCTTTGAAACGTTACTTAGGTCAACGAGAAGAGCAAATCGCTTGATGTGGTCCTAGGGTCAGAGAATATGCTTTCGCTCTGTAATAAAAGATTTCTGCCATTATTTGTTGCTCCCGCATTCTCGGCTATGCTTCTATATCGATCATATCCATCCAAGCTGATTTATGCATCCGAACACAGCCGAAGCCAATAACCCATCAGGCTCTACGTCGTTAGACGCTACTTCAACTGCCCTTGTTACGCATCTTCAAGCATGTCCGTCGCTAGTGTGAAGCGACTATACAGTATTAGAGATTTTCAATCGTTAACACTCCTTCTCGGATAATGCCATACCGTCTTGACTATCTCGCATTAATTACATAATTGTGCAAGCTGGGCGCGTCGATTGCATCAGTCATTATATCGGCTAGCATCTGCTTCAATCGCGAATAATGTACCAGTACAATGGTACGCCGGGCAACATCGCGAACAAACCTGACTCGAGCGTCGGAATGTTTGCCTTGAGCGAAGACGATACATGCTCACGCTGTCAAATAGCATCATGTTTGTCAACTGCATCAACATGGACAATTGCGGCACCACGCCAACTTCTCATACCATTTCGCGCATGCATAGCAGCTCCCGGGCAACCCCAGTTGCCGCCTCAAATTTGGCTCGAATTGTCAAACGAGTAAGCCACCTTTTTCTTGTCAATCCGGCTGACTGCCATACCATTGGACACAATAACACCTCCAATCAGAGACTTCCTGTCATTTTTTCCGCGGCGACATTGGCGTCGATGTAATTCTCAATTATAATCGACGCATTCTCATTTCGCTCGGTGTCATGTTGACTTTCATCAGTTGAATGCCCTTGAGGTCGCTTGTCACTCGCTTCGCAAGCTTTCAATTGTGAAGCCGCGGTCGGTGGGCTTGTCTTGTTTCACCACGTATCGCAAACACAATATCGGGTCGCGCGCATCCGCTACTCACAGCAGCAAATCAACCAGCTACTGATGGCCTTGGCTGTAGGTGATCCATGTGTGCAATTGTGTTCGATTAGCGCGCTGTCACTTAAATGCCTCATAGCAGTTAGCACGAATTGGCGCAAGTGTCGAGTTTTCATTCAAGAGTGCGTATTCACGTAGTGAGTCACTCAGAGACAGCTCTTGGTCCATCACATAGCTGCCGCCGTCGTCAAGCACGCCTCTTATCACGAGATACTTGCTCACTAAGCCGGGGTTCTTTAATCGACAAACCCACAAGGATTGCGAAAAAAATGGCCGAATGCAGCCGTCCGCTTCAGTATCAGTGACCAGTAGGTCATTGATGTGGTCACTTATAGCCACAATGTCTTTTCGTCACACTTTCGGTAGAGGAGCATGCCACCCCACGCACTGTGCGACGTCCACTCGCATAGCTTTGCATGTAGAAGTTGATAATATAGCCTACCGGCTGCTTGAGACCATGTGATCTCTTCCACAATTCGAACCAAAACGCCTTCTTGTTTGACGGACCAACTTACATGCTCATACATTGTGACGTCTACCGAATTGTTTTACATGTGGCCCTTTATCTGCTATCATACAACGTTGGGGTGAACTTTCGTGCCTAGCGCACAATCCCTATGACGTTGCCATATCAAGTGGCACCTTCACAGTTGTCATTTCCGTAACTGCTGCGAAGTTGAGATGGTAGTAGGCAATAGAACTTGATCGTTTATCGCACGCAACACGTTGAACCTTGATCCGCCCGAGATCTCCGTGCATTTCCGGAATTTTCCTGTCGATAACACTTTATTCTCGGCCCCTTCGCATCTTCTACCCACACAAAAAAGGCAAGTCGGTACAAGCCAGTCATTTCGACTGTCTGATTCGTCACGCTTCTCATCGCACGGCTCTCGTCTTCTCGATCGAGGTGTCCGTCAAGTCTACGCGCTAGTTCTTCGTTCGTTCATAATCATGTCTTCGCCGCCGCGTTCTTCACCGCCACTCCTTACGCCACCGCCGCGCTCTTCGGTTTTCTCCGCCGATCAGACGCCTCGTCGTGTAACTCCGTCCCGCCGCTTCTTCCCTGACGACAGTCTATTTACGGCCAGCTACTCGCTGATTGGTGACGATTCGTCGACGGATGAAGATAGCTCATTCAAGGCAAGCACGCAACTGCCTACGCTAGTTGAACCTGTGCCGTGCACGGGCATGTGGATATCGCGATGCGCCTGTCGGCTGAACATAGCACGGACGAGATCCTTACAATTTAAATTGTGGGTGAGCTTCAGTCGCGCGACCGTACGGTTTACTTTCACTCGGGTCAGTGCCCTGTCGGTCTTTGTCTCGAGAATATTGAACCTCTTCGCGAGATTTACTTCGATCTTAAAAACAAGCCGTGTTTCGTTTAACATCGGCTTCGCATAGCTCAACCGTGTCAAGCCTCCTTCGCTCTGTCGGTTGGCTGCCTCGTGGAACATTTCTTTGGATGTATTCGATGATGCGGATATGGAGATCGATGACGTTGCGTCTCTTTCCTCTACTGTGGTCGGTCCACCCACAGAGTCATCTATTTCGGCTACTGTTCGTGCTTCTTAAGTGATACCTGGACCTTCCCCTTCTTCTGCTTGGTCAACGGCGAAGACACTTATGCTCTATTCGGTCATGGCGGACACGCCGACGTGGCAATTAATTCAAGATTCTTACAGCGGTACTGCGCAGGACGCCAGTCCTGTGTATGAACCTACTTGTTCGATGCCTTACTCGTTGGATGAGGTCCCTGATGATTCGTCGGCTCTAAAGTATTCAACGATTGTTGATGTGTACAACACATACAAAGCTCTCACGGATTCTGGCTTTGACGAGACTCAACCACCGAATGTTGACATTGCGGTCTACGACGAGCATTTCAACAGCGTTGCTGGATTTACCGACAACTATGAACTGGTTTCTCTATGTACTACTCACGCGCTTATGGGCGCCCGTTAACGAAAGCCAAAAAGGCCCCATATTTCATCTCAAGAACTGGATGCGCTGATTGCGGAATTCGTGTCGCAGGACGTCATGAATTACTCTTCGCATTATGATCTTCTCGCTGCTACTCAAGTGCAGACTGCACATCCGCATCACTTGTGCAAGCTTTAGACGAAGTGGCGCTAACAAATTTACCGTACACACGCAATTTTTCGTGCTTCTCGTGACGTTCTTCTTCCTTACGGACATGAGTGTATACTGTCCTACTTGCACGCCAAGTTTGCCGCTCCGGGAGAGTCAATGGCTAATCTTTTCTACTCCGTTTCTACCAACAATGAAGCTCGCCGAGCTGCGTTGGCTTGGTTCAAGTTTGATTTCTTTTTGATGATGTTCGTGCCAGGAGTTCACCTCGACCCGGCCAAGATTGCTATAATATGCCTGGCACCTATTCGTGCACGCGTCTGTACTCTTTGACGTTTCTATAGTGGAATGATTTAAACCTGCAATGTGTCGCGCAAACGGATGTCTTGGCAGTCTTTTTGACGGACCCACG